ACAAATGGTCTGAAGCTTTGTGTAAAAGGCCAAATAAATTCGGTGCAAATTATACTCGTTTGTTTTTTTTCAGGGGGAGAAAGTGTTGAACTGTAGACTTGTTCTAATGGTTTTGTGCATTAGCGTCTCTGAAATTTCTAATGCAGCTGTTTTAACTTTTGATGGGGCGCCCTTCAGAGTTGGTTAGAAGAATGGCAACTACTGTATATAGATCTTTCAAATAAATAAATATAAATGAGGGAGGGAGGGAAGGAAAGAAGGAAGGAAGGAAGGGAAAGGAAGGAAGGAAGGGAGGGAGGAGCAAGAAAGAAATGAAAGGAAATGAAAAAGGAAAGAAGGAGTGAGAGAGAGAAAGAAAGAAAGAAGAAAGAGAGAGAGGTGGGAGAGAGGAAGGAGGGAAGGGAGAAAGGGAGGGTGGCAGGAAGCAAGGAAGAAGGAAGGAGAAAGGAAGAAGGGAAAGAAAGAAGAGAAGGAAATGAGGGAGAGTGGGAGGGAGGAAAGATAGAAGGGAGGGTGGGTGGCAGGAAGCAGGGATGAAGGAGGGAGAAAGAAGGAAGGAAGGTAAAAGAAAAAAGGGAGGAAAGAAGGGAGGGAGGGAGAAAGAAGGAAGGGAAAGGAAGGAAAGAAGGGAGGGAGGGAGGAAGAAGCAAGAAATAAATAAAATGAAATACAAAGGAAGGAAGGAGAGAGAGTGAGAAAGAAAAAGAGAGAGAGAGGAGGGAGAGAGGGAGGAGGAAGGAAGGAAGGAAAGGGAGAAGAGGGGGTGGCAGGAAGCAAGGAAGAAGGAAGGAGAAAGGAAGAAGGAAAAGGAAGGAAAGAAGGGAGAGAGAGAGGGAGGAAGGAAGAATAGAAGTGAGGGAGGGTGGCAGTAAGCAGGGATGGAGGAAGGAGAAAGAAGGAAGGGAGGGAAAGGAAGGAAAGTAAAAGAAAAAAGGAAGGAAAAGGGAGGGAAGAAAGAGAAAGTAGGAAAGAGAAAAGAGGAAGGGGAAGGAAGAAAAGAAGGAAAGAAGGAAGGAAGGAAGGAAGGAAGGAAGGAAGGAAGGAAGGAAGGAAGGAAGGAAGGATCCAGAAAAATCTGATCCCACCCATGTGTGTGTGGCACAGCCTTCCTAAACTGATTCACCTTCTCCAAAAACATTCAACGCAGTTTCACTCCCCAAAATTTTTACCTCCTCCAGTCCCACCTGACCTTAAGGCCTACTTAAATTTCCCACGGCTTACCTTCGTTAAGATTCTATTCACAGATTTTCTTCTTGTAGGTTTCTAAGCAAAGCAAATATTTGCACAGCAATTCATGTCCACAATATATATATATATTCCATTCAAGTTCCACGCTCAGTAATATTGCACGAGCCACCCTCTCATCAGCAGGGAAAATCAGAGACTGTAACAATGCATTTGTGAACTTACAGCCTAAGCATTGCTTCCATTTTTCTATTACGGTGCGATTTTAGCATTCCAGCAATAAAAACATGCAGGGACAGCTGAGAATTTATTATCTCTTACCGTAACATTGAAGGGTGTTTAGCAATTAGGTGCTGTAACTTGCCCTAAAATATTTATTTATTCAACAACGCGAGCTGCGTTTGGCGAGATATTTGACCAGCTCAGAAGTCATTAATTGTTTCTTTGTTAAAAGAATAACATCCGCTTCCTGGGCTGTACAATTTCTTATCTTGTAGAATACTAATACTTCATAATAAAAAGCTACAGGCAGGTCCGGCTTCGTTATAAATTCCTCTTTATCGTTTAATGCTGCCCAGAATCACCCTGTGGTTAAAATGGGGCGGCATAAATAAATTTAATAATTGAATACATACATTCAAGAATTTAGGTTCTTATGTAGCAGTGAAATGTTCAAGGAAACACATTATCCTCCAGCACAGTTGAACCAACTGATGGTCTGTGAACCACTGGTGGGCCATGAGAAAATTTTGGTGGTCCGCAGAAAAATTATTTGCATTTTTTATATTGCACTAAATCAGGGGTCCTCAAACTACGGCCCCTGGGACGGATACGTGCAATGAACAGTTGTGTTGCTGCAGAGAGTCTCCCCCTTCGGGGTCTTTTTGTGTGGGTTGGAGGGGGGCAGAAATTCCGACTTGGGGTCTGCTTCGGCCTCCTGGTGTGGGGCTTTGGGCGAAGGCTGGTGGGAAGTGCCGCTGGTGGTGAAGAACCGGAGGGCCTTGTTCCAGTGGGACTGCATCATGGCCTGGAACTGGCTGACTATCTCAACCCGCTGAGCCTCCAGGTGCCGATACCTGGCCTTGCACTCCCGCAGGTCTTCCGTCTGCTTGGAAAGCCTAGGCTCCTAGTCCTCAGTGAGGTGCTTCTGCTGAGCCTCCTTCTCGGTCAGATCCAATTTGAACTGAGCTGTTTTGCCAACCCTTTCTCGTGGTGGCTGCTTAGCTCCAACAACTGCTTCCAGTTGGGACCCTAAGGAGCCCGGGTGGGGAGGTGAGGAATGACGCGGAAGGGAGAGGCGAGGCTGGTGAGGCGCCACTCAACGTGAGTGACATCGAGTTGGCCACGCCCACTCAGTCACATGACCACCTAGCCACACTCACGCAGCCGGTCATTAGGCAGATCATATTAGTGGTCTGTGGGATTTAAAATTATGAATTTAGTGGTCCCTGAGGTCCGAAAGGTTGGTGACCCCTGCTCCAGCATGTCTGTGTTAACCTGCAAAATCTTTATTAGTACAATCATTTAGGCATTATTCACAGTCACCGACACTCCACTCTTAAACTAACATTTGTCTTATGTGAACAGGCCAAATTTATAAGATTCTTGTAATGTAGGTAATGCGGCTCCAGCTAGACGATCACTGAAGGGCCCTCTTTATTCATAGTATTGTAAGAAAGAAAATGTGCTTGTTTGAGAGAAGCAAATGTATCCAGTAGAAATAGTACAAAGGCAGACAAATTCCTTTGAAGTAGAAACATTCTATAAGAGGGGCCCCTTAGTTGTCAGAGATAGAGACATTTGGTGATATACAGTTTGAAGGTTAAAGAGACCAAGGATGACCACATGAAATATCAACAAGAGATAATTTGAATCTATGCTTCGGTGATTTACAAGAAGAATTATGACTGTTTGGCAAAGATAATGTAACAAACTTAGTAATTAGAAAAATGTCATTTGATGTAACGAATGTCTGCAATGATAAAACTGCTGAGATAACAGAATCCTTTGTTTGAAAATGTATAAAACTGTGGTCTCAGAATCATAAGTTGTTCAAAGCTTCATGTACAAAACTGGCTCTGAACCTATTGCGCAATAAACTGGCTCTGGCTAACCTAAGAATGTTATTTGGTCTCACCATTCCACAACACTTGGGAGAGACAAGGGTACCACAATCAGACATATGGTTGGTCTCTCAAAGGTGAGATCCTCACACTTTCCCATTCTGTCTCTTGCCAGCAGCCTCCTCTGAGCCAAGCTGTTTTCCACATCTTCGAAGACTTTTATGGATTCTGTGATTGTTATGTGGCAGTTCTTACCTTTGCTAGATCTCCTTCCCCACCTTGTCTCATCTGCAAACTGTCCATAATAGTCCTTATCTCTAATGGCTGAAGGGCAACTGTGCATAGAAACTGGAAGGTTGGTGAATGAGAAACTAGGAGGAAACCCCAGAATTTTAAGATTGTCAGTTAGATTATAAAATGTCTATCTATCTATCTATCTATCTATCTATCTATCTATCTATCTATCTCTGTCCAACCATCCATCCATCCTTCCATTCTATCATCTCTCTATCTCCGTATCCTCTATAATCTACATCCATTTCTATATCTATACCTATCCATCCATCCGTCTGTCATCTATCTACCATGCATCTGTCTGTCTGTCTGTCTGTCATCCATTCATCCATCCACCCCATTATACCTTCTCTCTCCCTATCTATCCTCTATATTTATATCTATCTATCTCTATCTATCTATCTATCTATCTATCTATCTATCTATCTATCTATCCATCCGCCATCCATTCATCCATCCACCCACCTACTATATCTTCTCTCTCTCCCTTTCTATATCCATTTCTATCTATCTATCATCCATTCATCCACCATCTATCTATCCTGTCTATGTCTTTCTTTATCTCTGTCTGTCTGTTTGTCTGTCTATCATCTATCTACCTATCTTCCTGCCTGCCTGCCTGCCTGCCTACCTTATCTATCTATCTATCTATCTATCTATCTATCTATCCTATCTGTTCCTATTCCATTTTTCTTCTTCTTCTTCTTTCTTCTTCTTTTTTTTTGCTTTTGGCACTTTAACTTTCTCTGTTATTCCTTCCCCCCCTTCTTTCTTTATTTTAATATGTATTCAATTTTCCTCTTTTTTTTTTCCTTACAGCTTTCAATAAAATAATATTTATTTTAAAAAGACAAGGGGGAAAAAACCCCCACTGCTTCAGAGGGCTCCAGTTTCTGGAAGTGCAAAGTTCATTACCCACTTAGAACAAAAAAATAATAAAAAATCTACGGACAAAAAGAAAACAAACTCCACCTCACCCAGTATTAAACTGCATTTGTTGATCCAGCTTAATTTTATTTTATTTTATTTTATTTCGTTGTACGAGGTGCAATGACAGTAAAGTAAAGTAAAGTAAAGTAAAGTTAAGTAATAAGTAAGTAAGTAAGTAAGTAAGTAAGTAAGTAAGTAATTAAATAAGTTTTTCTTTTTGTACGGAAAAACAAACCCACAGGGCGCTGCCATCTTGGCCCATTTCCCGTGGGCGCAGCCATCTTTACTCCCTCTCCTCCCCCTCCCTTCCGTACAACCCCGCTCGCCATCTTAGCGTCGGGAAAAAAAAAAAAAAAAGCCGCCCGGCAACGAGGAAAAGGTTTCGTTGCCCTTCCTCGAACGTGGGAGTGGGCGGGGCGCGCGCGCGCTCCAATGAGAACGCGCCCCGGGGAGCCCGAGCCCTCCCCTCCATGCGCGGATTGGACGGCTTGGAAGAGCGCGGCGGGAGGGAGGCGTGCGAAAGCATCAGCTGGTTGCCGATGACAGAGCAGCGGGAGGGTTGGCGCACCAGCCGCCATGGGGGAAGCGGAGAAGTTCCACTATGTGTACAGCTGCGAGCTGGACCTGAACGTGCAGCTGAAGATGTGAGTGCCGAGGATGCGCAGGCTCTGTCCTCCCCTTCTCGGGGGGTGGGTGGGTGGGGGGGGGGGGCAGGATAATAAGGGCACTGCTCCTGTCCCAGGGCTCAGAGTTTTGGGGAGGATGGGGAGGATGGGGGGGGGGTGTCCCTGCTTTGCAATGACCTGGGATGAGAGAGGAGGGGGCGGGGGTCCCTGCTTTGCAATTAAGTGGGGAGGAAGGAGGGGTCCTTGCTTTGCAATGCCCTGGGACAGAAGGGGGGAGGTTGCAAATAATTGGGGAGGGAGGAGGGGTCCCTGCTTTGCAATTAACTAGGGAGGAAGAAGGGGTCCTTGCTTTGCAATGCCCTGGGACAGAAGGGGGGAGGTTACTGCTTTGCAAATAATTGGGGAGGGAGGAGGGGTCCCTGCTTTGCAGTTAACTGGGGAGGGAGGAGGGGTCCCTGCTTTGCAAATAACTGGGGAGGAAGGAGGGGTCCTTGCTTTGCAATGCCCTGGGACAGAAGGGGGGAGGTTATAATTGGGGAGGGAGGAGGGGTCCTTGCTTTGCAATTAGCTGGGGAGGGAGGAAGGGGTCCTTGTTTGCAATGCCCTGGGACAGAAGGGGGGAGGTTACTGGTTTGCAAATAACTGGGGAGGGAGGAGGGGTCCCTGCTTTGCAGTTAACTGGGGAGGGAGGAGGGGTCCCTGCTTTGCAAATAACTGGGGAGGAAGGAGGGGTCCTTGCTTTGCAATGCCCTGGGACAGAAGAGGGGAGGTTACTGCTTTGCAAATAATTGGGGAGGGAGGAGGGGTCCCTGCTTTGCAATTAACTAGGGAGGAAGAAGGGGTCCTTGCTTTGCAATGCCCTGGGACAGAAGGGGGGAGGTTACTGCTTTGCAAATAATTGGGGAGGGAGGAGGGGTCCCTGCTTTGCAATTAACTGGGGAGGGAGGAGGGGTCCCTGCTTCGCAATTAACTGAGGAGGAAGAAGGGGTTCTTGCTTTGCAACGACCTGGGATGGGAACAGGGGTCCCTGCTTTGCAATGACCTGGAATGAGAGGGAGGGGGTCCCTGCTTTGCAAGTAATGGGATGGAGGATGGTCCCTGCTTTGCAATGACCTGGAATGAGAGGGGGGGGGCTGCTTTGCAAGTAACGGGATGGAGGATGGTCCCTGCTTTGCAATGACCTGATACAGGAGGAGGGGTCGGTCCCTGCTTTGCAAATAATTGGGGTGGGAGGAGAGGTCTTCTTTGCAATGCCCTGGGACACTTTAATTCTCTTGCTGGATGCCTGACTACCCCTGTCCTACAAGATGCATCTCTGTCTCCTGGTGATTGGCCCAAAGTCACCCAGTTAGCTTTCATGCCTAAGGTGGGACTAGAACTCACTGTCTCCTGGTGATTGGCCCAAAGTCACCCAGCCAATTTTCATGCTTAGGGCTAGAACTCACGGTGTCCTGCTTTCTAGCCTGGTGCCTTAACAACTACCCCAAACTGGTTCTCGTTATCACGTTCAGTATTTACGATATCATACTCAAATCTTTGTTTTTTTTCTTCTTTGTCCATTCAGAGGCAGCTTGGAAGGGAAGAGAGAGCAGAAGAGCTACAAAGCGGTTTTGGAAAACCCCATGCTGAGGTTCTCCGGGTTGTACCAAGAGACGTGTTCTGACCTCTACGTCACCTGCCAGGTGTTTGCAGAAGGAAAGCCTCTCGCTCTCCCTGTCCGGACGTCCTACAAAGCTTTCAGCACCAGGTGGAAGTAAGTCCTCTGGGTTGAGGCTCAATAGCGTAGATGAGAGGTCTTCAAACTTGGCAGCTTTAAGACTTGTGGACTTCAACTCCCAGAATTCTCCAGCACAGCAGAGCTGGCTGGAAAATTCTGGGAGTTGAAGTCCACAAGTCTTAAAGCTGCCAAGTTTGAAGACCTCTGGTGTAGTTTCTAAAGATCTCATCTGGACGTCTGTGATGGTCGTGGTCAGTCATCCAGGTCATGGTTGTCCCAAAGTGTTCTGCCCCAGCTACGGACGCCAAAGAACGCAGCACACACAAAGTCTGTACAAACCTTAGTTTACTAAAATAAAATCAGTTTTTTAAACAAAGGCTGTTAATTTTCTTAACAGCCTGCAAGAATCCAAAGAATAAATAATCGTAATCTTGCTATGGTTGGCAGAAAGCCCAGAAGCAATTTGCAGGAAACTAAGATCAAGGCACGAAGGAGAGTGAACGGTTGTTCCCTGCAAATTGCTTCAGTTGGCGTTCCTCCTTAAATAGGCTAAGAGAGTGGCCAATTAACCCCAAGCCTTACTCTCGAGGAGACCTCCTCCTGAAGAGCCACTCCTGTCTTTTGGCAGCTCTGCGTGCCCGTGCATTGAGAAGAGGCTCCTCCTCTTCTTCCTCTTCACTTAAGGGAGCTTCTGGAGGTTCTGACGGCCCTGGCTGAATCCCCGCCTCTGGCACTACATCTTCTCCAGCCTCCTCATTGTCTGCCACGGAGAGGGTAGTTTGACCCTCTCCGTGGCAGCCCCTCAAATATTGGAAGACTGCTATCATGCCTCCCCTGGTCCTTCTCTTCACTAGACTGATCACATGATCCCGGGACATTGCAAATGTCATAAAACTGAGTCAGTTGCCAAATGTGTGAATTTTAATCATGTGATCATGGGGATGCTACAAGTATGAAAAATATTCATGGGTCACTTTTTTTTCCCAGTGCTGTTGCAATTTTGGTCATTAAATGAACTGTTGTAAGTTGAGGACTACCTGTACGGAAAAGGCGACCCCTCCTTCAGGTTGAGCTCAGTCTGGATGTATCCATGTTGTTTTCTTGGAATTGTAAGAGATGGGGAAGAAGTCTCAGAGGCGTCTTTCAGAGCAGGGGTCTCCAAGCTTGGTAACTTTAAGAGTTGTGGACTTCAACTCTCAGAGCAAAGCTGGCTGAGTCCACAAGTTTTCATGTTGCCAAATGTTGGAGACCCCTGTTTCAAGAGCACATTCTAGAAGTTTCCACAAGATAATTGTACATTATGGCGACGGCAACGAAAATAAAGGGATTGATCATGTTAATAGTGTAGGGAGGCTCAGTAACCGAGTCAGATTTTGAGGCTCTTAACTAGGGAGGGTTTAGAATGGTATAAATCTGAACTAAAACTTAACTTTTCTCCTCAGCTGGAATGAATGGCTAAAACTGCCAGTGAAATACCCTGATTTGCCCCGAAATGCTCAGGTGGCATTCACAATATGGGACATCTATGGACCTGGGAAAGCCGTCCCTGTGGGTGGCACAACAGTCTCTCTCTTTGGGAAATATGGGTGAGTTGTTTTTCCTTTTCTTCTAACTCTTATATATTATTATAATTACTATTCTTCTTCTCATCTTTTCTATAGGACCTTCTCCTGTTGGTGTTTTATGATTATAATATTTTGTTGTTTGTATGTACACTGAGAGTTTATGCACCGGAGACAAATTCCTTGTGTGTCCAATCACACTTGGCCAATAAAAAATGTTCTGTTCTGTTCTGTTCTGTTCTGTTCTGTTCTGTTCTATTCTATTCTATTCTATTCTATTCTATTCTATTCTATTCTATTCTATTAATTTTCTCTTCTCTTCTCATTTTTCTCTCCTATTCTGTTCCGTTCCATTCAATTGCGTTCCATTCCACTTCTATTCTATTCTACTCTACTCTACTCTATTCATTTTCTCTCCTATTCTGTTCCTTTCCATTCCATTCCACTCTACTGTTCTGTTCTATTCTATTCTATTCTATTCTATTCTATTCTATTCTATTCTATTCTATTCTATTCTATTCTATTCTATTCTATTCTATTCCATTCCATTCCATTCCATTCCATTCCATTCCATTCCATTCCATTCTAGCTGTCTCTCTAACTCTGCCTTCCATTCATAGGATGTTCCGTCAAGGGATGCATGATCTCAAAGTATGGCCCAACGTGGAGGCAGATGGTTCTGAACCCACCAAGACTCCTGGGAAAACAAGCAGTACATTTTCAGAAGACAAGATGAGTCGGTTAGCCAAGGTAAGAAGAAACTCTCCTTCTTTGTTTTTCTAATTCACCTGAAGGCAGGACAAGAAGGAATGGATGGAAATGAATCAAGGAGTGAAGCAACCTAGAACTAAAGAGGAATTTCCTGACAGTCAGAACAATTAATCAGTGGAACAACTTGCCTCCAGAAGTTGTGAATGCTCCAACACTGGAGGTTTGCAAGAAGAGATTGGACAACCAATCTCTTGTAGTGTAGGGTTTCCTGCCTAAGCAGGGGGTTGGACTAGAAAACCTCCAAGGTCCCTTCCATCTCTGTTACTCTATTACTAATAGTGTTTGATTGATTATGATTATGATTCTCAATGATTATTTGAGAAGGATCTCTACCAGACTGAAACCATCAACCAAGAGTTCATTCTGGAAGTTAAAGCACATTTAGAGACAGTTTGGTTTAGTAGTTAAGGCACCTGGCTAGAAAGTAAGAGACTGTGAATTCACAGTCCTACCTTAAAGGATGAAAACTGGCTGGGTGATTTTGTATCAATCACCAGGAGATGGTGAGTTCTAGCCTGAGCCTTAGAAGCAGCTAAGAGTTCTTATGAGAATAAAAGATAGGAAACTCTGTTTTATCTCTCTTTCTTGAGACTCAAATAAAATAATGATAGTTTTGTAATTCATGGTGTTTTTGGACCAGTTAATGTCGGATGCCCATAGAAAGGTAGGTCATCTTGGAGACCTTCTATGCCGGGGATGTCCAACCTTGGCGACTTTAAGACCTGTGGACTTCAACTCCCAGAATTCCTCAGCCAGCCATGCTGAGGAATTCTGGGAGTTGGAAGTCCCAGAATTCCTAAAGTCTTAAAGTCATCAAGGTTGAACATCAAGTCTTAAAGTCTTAAAGTCATCAAGGTTGAACATCTCTTTCTATGTTATCTTTTGCAGCGATAGGAACATGACATTCCCATGGGGAGTTTCCATGTTGATAGACCACTTTGAAGAATAGCTTCTGGGAAGCGAGGTTTTGTTTCTTGTTCTCAGAAAAGGTCCATCTTCTTCCATCTCATACGTGGTCCATGGAGATTCTCGGTCATCCAAGTCATGGTTGTCCCAAAGATGCTTTTTCAAAAGGCAGCTGGATTTTGTTTTTCCTTGAAGACGTTTCGCTTCTCATTCAAGAAGCAGTCAGAACAGAAGAAGCTTCTTGGATGAGAAGTGAAATGTCTTCAAGGAAAAACGAAGTCCAGTTGCCTTTTGAAAAAAAAAAACACCTTTGGCATCTCTATACTTTACAGTAGTGGCCAAAATTGTGGAAACCTTTTGTTAAAAGTGTATTTTCTAAAACTAGCTAATCACATCACTTTTCTTTCTTTCTTCTTTTTTTTTTTTGCAGTAGTACCATAAAATTGTATATCAATGGAAAGTTAATTTAATCAAGAATGTAATACAATCATTTTTATGAAGGATTTGCTATTAGAATAGCAGTTACAGTACAAAGAAGAAAAGTGAAACACATAGAAAAAACGAGATCTACAAAAATGATCACCATAGAAAAAACGATAATCTACAAAAATTATCGTCATGTCAGTTATTGCTTAGTTGAGTAACCTTTAGCATGAATTACGGCCTTACAACATCTTCCCATGGAGTGAATCAAATCTTTTAGTTCTGCAGCTGTTATAATGTGAAACCAAGATTGAATGATGGCTTCTATTAACTGGGTTTTATTGCTGGGTCGCTTCTGAATAACAAGTTTCTTTAGTCGGTTCTATAGATTTTCAATTGGGTTAAGGTCTGGGCTATTCCCAGGCCATTCCAGCAGTGGAATAGGATTATCTTGAAACTCCAAAATAAAAAGTGATGTTATTAGCCATCAAACCTCAAAAATACTAGTGCCTGGTGGCTCAGCAGAGTGATAGCATTGTGATTAACACCAACTGTCTGCAATTACTGTAAGTTCGAATCTCACCAGGCTCAAGGTTGACTCAGCCTTCCATCCTTTCTAAGGTAAGTAAATTGAGGACCCAGTTTGTGGGGGCAATAAGCTGACTTTGTATAAATATACAAAAAGTATGAAGGCTATTGCTTAACGCATTGTAAGCCGTCCTGAGTCCCCGGAGAAGGGTGGTATATAAATCAATTTTTTTAAAAAAAAATACACTTTCCAAAAAGGTTTCCACAATTTTGGCCACTGCTGTATTTCTTCACCTTGTCTCATCTTTGGGGCTGTTCCTTGTTTCTTTTGTGACACTTCTTGGGATAACTCTTGCAGAAGCCTGAAAAAAGTAACCAGTTTTCTGCTTTCCACATCCCTCTGGCTAGAATTAATCACCTTGCTTAACCTTTGACTCTATTAGATCAAGGTTCTGTTTCCAGGAAGAACAGAGGATTCAAAAATCTGTAAAGATCTCAGTTGCATGTCTGAAATGTGCAGCTAACAGATAGGGGTTTTTTTTTTGTTTTTTGTTTTCAATGTAGGCCTCAGGCGAGGAATATTTGGAGGAAGTAAGTACCAAGGAACCATGGCTTGTTGGCACCAGTCTTTGGAAAAGCACATGGTTGCAAACTTCCTGAGCACTAACATCCTAATCTAAGCTTTCTTTGATTTGTTCAAATGCCAGTTTGCTCCTCTCGTACCTGTTAACCCTCCTGAGCTTCATAATAGGGTTTCAGCATTGGGCTAAACTGTGGTTTAGCTGCATATGTTACATAACAAGCTTTAAACTATGATTAACACCCACAATGTTGAAGATCACATGTTGTGCTGAGCCAAAGAAGATATATAATAGTTTTAAGTTGGGGTCCAAACCCAGTGTCAGACAGACCAGGATTTAATAGAGTGTTTTTTTTTCCCCTCGAATGCAGGTTTTGATAATAACTTAAGATCCATGCTTGGAGTAGATGTGTTAATATATATACAGGCAGTCCTCGACTTACGACCTCAATTGAGCCCAACATTTCTGTTATTTCTGCTAAGTGAGACAGTTGTTAAGTGAGTTTTGTTCCATTTTACTGCCCTTCTAACAATCTCTGCAGTTGTTAGCTTAATGATACGGTTGTTAAGTGAATTTGGCTTTACTTATCAGAAGGTCTCATGAAAAGGGGATCATACAACCCCGGGACACTATAACGGTCATAAATGTGAAACCAGTTGCCAAGCCTCTGAATTTGGTTCATGTGAATGCCTCAACGGTCGTAAGTGTGAAAAATGGATGTAAGTCACCTTTTTCTATCCCATTGTCACTTTGAAAGGTCTGTCAGAGTTTTTTGCAAAAATCAAATCCAGAAGCACACACGGATAACTGAATCAGCTGGATTCATTAACTTCTTTATATACATAATAACACATAAAGTATATTTACAATACCAACAGTTGATTCTTCAGCTCAGATCAGCAGACAAGTTCACACTCACAGCTCAGAGCTTAACACACACTGGTTTCAGTTTCAATTCTCTGCACAGAATCAGAAGCTGCAGACTAAGACACGCCCTGGCTCTAGTATGTCTCAGCTCCCAATTGGCTGACTTAGTTGCTATGCCAATTAATTGGCTAATAGTGTCATGAATATTCTGACACTAAACAAACTTGTTGTAAATCGAGGACTACCTGAAGCATATAAAAACTAGACACATTTGGCTCTTCGTAGCTGTCCCGATGCATTTTTCTTAAATTGTTGTGGAAGTTTTAGATGATAACCCATTCAATTAGTAGCCAAGGACGACTCTGCTTAGCTTCTATAGTTGACTAGATCATTTTTATTTCTTTTTATCTAGTTGTTCCATTTCTATAGCCGCCCATCTCAACCAAGTGCCTCTGGGTTTAGCCAGTTACTGGAAACAAATTAAATTTAGTCATAAATAAAGTCTCATTTATCGCAGCGAATTTCCCTTCTTATGCTTGGCTCAGAATTTTTTTTGTTTTCTGTAATAAATCAGAGAGAGATTAGGGTTTACTAATTTACAGGGACAGCGTTTGTCTCCAATGGCCATAAATATTATTTCCGTATTAATAAGAACTCCGATATAAATACTTGGGCGCTTCAACATTCATCTCCAGTTTAGTGGAAATATTTAATAAAACAACAACAAAAGGGAACCCTCTTTAGAGGTTTCTCATCTTCTAGATATTTACCTCTGCCTGGATTTCCATTTAATTATGGACTTTTTCAATAATGTCAGCATGGCAAAAAATTATCGAAGTGCAGAATTTGGAAGTATGAGTGTCTCGTAACGTATTTAATTCGATTAGATCAGTGTTTCTCAATCTTGGAAGCTTGAAGATGGGTGGACTTCAACTCCCAGAATCCCCCAGCCAGCACTGCTGGCTGGGGGATTCTGGGAGTTGAAGTCCACCCATCTTCAAGCTACCAAGGTTGGAGAAACACTGGATTAGATGAAGACAGAACAATTATAGTTACATGGCACACTAAGTTTAATGAGTGTCAACCATTGTTAATTTTTTAATGGGTTAGCACAATGCAGGAGCTTCTCTTGGTTGTTAATTGACTTTCAGGATCCTGTGTACAGCTAATCCTCGATTTACGACCACAGCCGAGCACCACATTTACGCTGCTGAGTGAGATCTTTGCTGAGTGACTTTTGTCCCAACTTTTTTCAACTCTTGCCACCTTTCTCGTTAAGTGAATCATCACCATTGTTAAGTTAGTGACCCGGTCATTAAATGAATCTGTCTTTCCCCTTTTGACTTGGCTTGTTGGAAGGTCTCAAAAAAGGGATCACGTGACCCCGGCACCACCACAGTCATAAATATGAAACCAGTTCCCAAGCGTCGATATTTTGAACGCGTGACCAGGGAGGATACTGCAACGGTCGTTAAGTGTGACAAACAGTCATAAGGCCCTTTTTTTTCAGTGCCAGTATAACTTTGAATGGCCACTAAACTGAATGTGGTAAATCAAGGACTAGCTCTATATACCTAAAGTCTTTTTTAGCTGCAAGCAGTAGACACATTTCATAAAACAGAAGGCCTGGCCTAAATCTTTCCCCTTTCAAATGTAAATTTTAATTTGTTTTTAAAATTATTGGGTGTTTTAATTTGTCTCGGCCAAATTGTTTAATTCGGTTTTATTCTGTTTTTAAATTTTGTATTTATGTGTTTTATTCTGTGGCTGTTCACCGCCCTGAGTCCTTCGGGAGTAGGGCGGTATACAAATCCAATAAATGAAATGAAATGAAATAAATGGATAAATACACAAAGTCTGTAGAGATTCTCAGTCTATCCAGGTCATAGTTGTCTCAAAGGTGCTTTTATTAGGCGGCAACTGGGCTTTCTTGCTTTTTTCCTTTGAAGATGTTTCACTTCTCATCCAAGAAGCTTCTTCAGTTCTAACCGGATGGTGTGGAAGGGAAGGATTTATATAGAGCTGAAGAAGCTTCTTGGATGAGAAGTGAAACGTCTTCAAAAGAAAAAAGGCCAAGAAAGTCCAAGAAAGTTCCTGAAAAAAGCACCTTTGGGATAAATACAAACGCAACAGTCAAGTAATAATTGGCTTAAATGGTTAATTTTTTACCATTTTCCCATCACATTAATACCTCAGAGTGTAGACATTTATCTTATCTGATTGATTAGAAGGCATAAAATGCCCCATATCGATGGAAAAATATATGGAGCGTAGGATGTTTAGGGTAGAGCAAAAAAATAAATAATAAAATAAATTGCATTTCTAATGACCCCATTGGGATCTATTCTAAACACCTCAAAGCGTAGAAGGGTTAATTGAATGGATAACCGCTTATGATAGCTGCTGGTTTTTCTGAAATTTTTATTTAACTGTTTTGACTAAAACTGTTACCTCAGAAGTGTGTAGCAAAGCTTAATATTGCCGTCCTGGTTTTTGAAGTGTTTTTTTTTTTTTTTTTTGGAATGACTTATTTTTATTTTTATTTTTTGTGCATTTTGGTATGGACCAGTTCCTCTCAATGAGATTGCTGTGTGAGGTTTATTCCGTGTACTAATTTTAAAAGCTTTCCATTTAATCCCGTGAGAGAACTTTGGCATGTCTGATCTTCTATTTCTTTCTGGATGCTTTCTGGTTTTCTGAGTCTTGATGAGTCTTTGAAAAATACCCCGAAAAAATATAGCTGTGAAAGAAGCGGACGTGTTGAGGTGTAATGATGGAAAGGAACAATTCTGAAGGCTTTACACATTGGTAGGTGCAGTTTATCACCAGGTTAATCCCAATACAAGATATGCTGCCATCTCTGAGCACTTCAAGTTGGTCTCATTCACTAAACGAACTCTCCTTCTTCCTTTTTTCCTCCTCCTCCTTCCTCTCTCCTCCTCCTTCCTCAACTTCCTTTTCCTCCTCTCCTCCTCCTTCCTTCTCCTTCTTCTTTTTTCCTTTTTTCCTCCTCCTTCCTCTCCTTCTCCCTCCTCTTCCTCCTCTTCCTCAACTCCTTTTCCTCCTCTTCCTCCTCCTTCTTCTCCTTTTCTTTTTTCCTTTTTTCCTCCTCCTTCCTCTCCTTCTCCCTCCTCTTCCTCCTCTTTCTCAACTTCCTTTTCTTCCTCTTCCTCTTCTTCTTTTCTTCCTTTTTTCCTCCTCCTTCCTCTCCTTTTCCTTCCTCCTCTTCCTCCTCTTCCTTTTCTTCCTCTTCCTCTCCTTTTCTTCCTTTTTTCCTCCTCCTTCCTTCCTCTCCTTCTTCCCTCTCTTCCTCCTCTTCTCCTCTTCCTCAACTTCCTTTTCTTCCTCTTTCCTCTTCCTCTTCTTCTTTTCTTCCTTTCTTCCTCCTCTCCTCTCCTCCTCCTTCCTCCTCTTCCTTTTCTTCCTTTTTTCCTCCTCTTCCTCCTCCTTCCTCTTCTTTCCTCCTTCCTCCTCTTCCTCAACTTCCTTTTCTTTCCTCTTCCTCTCCTCTTCTTTTCTTCCTTTTTTCCTTCTCCTTCCTCCTCTTCCTCCTCTTCCTTTTCTTCCTCTTCCTTTCCTTCTTCCTTTTTTCCTCCTCTCTTCTTTTCCTCCTCCTTCCTCCTCTTCCTCAACTTCCTTTTCTTCCTCTTCCTCTCCTTTTCTTCTTTTTTCCTCCTCCTTCCTCTCCTTCTCCTCTCCTCTCTTCCTCAACTTCCTATTCTTCCTCTCCTTCTTCTTTTCTTCCTTTTTCCTCCTCTTCCTCCTCCTTCCTCTCCTTCCTCTTCTTCCTCCTCTTCCTTTTCTTCCTCTTCCTCTTCTTCTTTTCTTCTTTTTTCCTCCTTCTCCTTCCCCTCTTCCTCAACTTCCTTTTCTTCCTCTTCCTCTCCTTCTTCTTTTTTTCTTTTTTTCCTCCTCCTGGCCTCAGCTCAATGATAGCTGTTGTTGTGAGGATAAAATGACGGGAGATCCTTGTGCATGCTACTTGAGCTCTTAGAAGGAGCTGAAGCCAGAAAGATGAGGAGGCAAAGCTAGAAAGAAAAGGGCTGCACATGATCCTTACCAGCAATCTTTGCTTTGCTTTCACTTTCACTTTCTGAGATGAAATGATAAGTAGTCTGGATCCCCAGAAGGGAGGGACTGCATTCCAGAGGAGTAAGAGCAGGGGTGAAATCCAGCAGGTTCTGACAGGTTCTGGAGAACTGGTAGCGGAAATTTTGAGTAGTTCGGAAAACCAGCCAATACCATCTCTGGCTGGCCCCAGAGTGGGGTGGGAATGGAGATTTTGCAATATCCTTCCCTGAGGAGTGGGGAGGGAATGGAGATTTTGCAGTATCCTTCCCCTGCCACGCCCACCAAGCCACGCCAACAGAACTGGTAATAAAAAAAATTGGATTTCACCACCGTGTAAGAGGCAACTCAGCCCAGATAATCTGTGTGAGAGAAAGAGGGTGAAGACGGTTCCTCCTTAATAGTTCCTAAAGTATATTGTAGAGGCATACAGTAGAGTCTTCAGTCTGGCAAGATTTGGTCTATATGTATGAAACCAAAAAGGACTCAGCTTGGAAGAATTAGCATGTGTCATTATTGATTTTGGCCTGACACATGGTGCTTGAAGAATTCTGGGAGCTGAAGTCCACACATGGAGGCTGAGGCATTCTGGGAGTTGAAGGCCACACCAGTGATTGGATCAAGTGATTTTTCTCAATTGCATTGTTTTCAGTGGAAGATGAAACAGGTATTTAGATCAAAGTTGCCCTTGGGAATGAAATCTTGTTTAGTTTGACATAATCTGAATTGCTTAATTGCCTTGATGGAGGTGTGTTGAATTATGGCAAGGAGTGGCAATAGGAACAGCTGCAAACACTCTAACAATAGTACTTAGACTTATATACCGGTTCACTTCAGTGCTTTACAGCCCTCTGTAACTGGTTTACAGAATCAGTATATTGCCCCCAACTATCTGGGTCCTCATTTTTACTGACCTCAAAAGGATGGAAGGCTGAGTCAATCTTGAGCCAGTCAGGATCAAACTCCTGACGTGGAATGCAGAGTTGGCCTGCAATACTGCAATGTAACCACTGCACAACCATGGCTTTGGATGGATGGATGATGGATGGATGATAGATGATAGATGACAGATGATAGAGATTAAATAGATAATGGATAATGGATGGATGGGTAGGTAGGTAGGTAGATAGATATACATAGGTATACAGATGGATACGAGGTAGGTAGATACATAGGTAGATAGATACATAGGTAGATAGATAGATACGAAGGTAGATACGAAGGTAGATAGGTACGAAGGTAGATACGTAGGTAGATAGATACAAAGGTAGATACATAGAAATGAAGGTAGATATACGTAGGTAGATACGTAGGTAGATAGATACAAAGGTATATAGATAGATACGAAGTAAATATGACAGGTAGATAAATACATAGGTATATAGATAGATACGAAGGTAGATACATAGGTAGATACGAAGTAATAGATATGTACGAAGGTAGATATAGGTAGATAGATACAAAGGTAGATAGATACATAGAAATATAGGTAGATATACGTAGGTAGATACGTAGGTAGATAGATACAAAAGGTAGATAGATACATAGATATGAAGGTAGATATACGTAGGTAGATAGATACGTAGGTAGATATGTAGGTAGATAGATACGAAGGTAGATAGATACATAGATATGAAGGTAGATATACGTAGGTAGATACGTAGGTAGATAGATACGTAGGTAGATAGATACGAAGGTAGATAGATACATTGATATGAAGGTAGATATATGTAGGTAGATAGATACATAGATAGATAGTTAGATAGCAAGAGAGAGAGAGAGAGAGAATCAATGAGAATATACACATACACATATGCCTGTGCGTAATATCTTCAACATGGTAACTTCTTTCTGTCCAGCTAAATAACAATCTTCTACTTTTTCCTTCCAGCTCACCAAATCTCACAGGCAGGGGCACATGGTCAAAGTCGATTGGCTGGATAGGCTGACCTTTCGAGAAATTGAAATGATCAATGAGGTATGTCATGGGCCTTGATGAGTTTTGAAGCCGTGGCTAATTGGGAAACGGTGCTGGATCTTCTGGGAATGCTCTCAGTTCTTCCGTTTTCTTCTCTTCTCCCTCCCACCTCGGTCCTCTTTACGATGATGATGTCATTTGGGACAGAGAAAGGACGGGTTTGTGTTGATATTTGGCTGGCCTCTGAATAATATCAGAGGGATCTATAGGGGGTGCCTCAAAAAGTGCTTTTTCAAAAGGGCGATTGGACTTCCTTTGTTTTTCCTTGAAGACGTTTCACTTCTCATCCAAGAAGCTTCATCATTTCTGGCAGAAGGAGTGGTGGTGATAGGAAAACATTTGTTTTTGCAGTCCTCTGGTCGTTAGCGCTCTCTTTGAGAGCCGTTGAGGCCACTTGGGTTTCTCTGTGCCCTGAGGATCACTTGAATAAGAGTGCAAATGGGAGTGGAATCTTCTTGGAGCTGTTGAAAGGACTGTGTTGTAGACAGGATGTTCAATCCATAAAGGTGTTCAAAAAAGGTGGCAGGTGAGAACCAACTGACTCAGGCAGTACTCAGGCCCCTATTTTAACACCTTCCACCTCCTATGAAAAGAAGATGGGCTTCCATCATGCAGTTGTGGCCACCATCTTGATTGTTTCTCTCCTTTTATTTCTCGTGGAGGCCCTGAGCGGTGGGTACTGAGAACACATCAAAGAGAACTTTGGAAAATAAAGTTGGATTTTAATATAATTTGTCTAAGGGAACTAGGTATGGTTAGCCTAACAGAAGAAGGCTTTGGGGAGACAGGAGAGCATCTTCCAACACTTGAAGAGCTGTCCCAGGGAAGAGAGCCTTCTGCTGCCTTTAAAGCACTTGTGGGCAGGAGAAGAAGCAATGGGTGGAAGCTCAGCCGAGAGAGACCCAACCTGGAAATAAGGAGAATTTTCTTGACAGGGAGAACAATTAGTCAATGGAACAGTTGGCTTCCCAGAGTTGTGGGTGTCCATTGCTAGAGGTTTTCAAGAAAAGATTGGGTAGCCTTGAGCAGGGAGTTGGACTAGAAGATCTCCAAGGTCCCCCCTCCCAGCCCTATAATTCTATTTTAATTAGAGGCTCCCACAAAATGAACTTCACTCTTGTGGATTGCACAAAACACATTTGCACAACACATTTGTGTTGTTTTTTTTGCTGCCAATGACATGAAGATCTACAAGTGTTTGTGGCATCATGCCGTAAACTTTCTCCTTTGGTAGGTCCAGGCGTTCGTTCTCATGATACAGACACCAAAGAGCCAAATGTGTGTTGGAAGAACATTCCCATAGCCCAACCCTTATCCTCGTGGATTCTGGGGAAGACTTGGATGGGATTTCTGATGTGAGATTCTTTAGAATGGGAACTCAAAAAAAAAAAAAAGGGGGGGGGTAATCCTGAAAGGGGTTAATAGAAAACCATCCCTGTATCTCTGCTAAGAGCCAGTTTGGCCTAGTAGTTAAGATGCTGGCCTAGAAACCTAAAGACTGTGAGTTCTAGTCTTGCTTTAGTCAAAAAAGCCAATTGGGTGATTTTGGGCCAATCACTGAAACACTGGGAGTTGTAGTCCTGCCCTGGGCATGAAAGCTTGACTTTAGGCCAATCACTGGGAGACTGTGAATTCTAGTCCTGTCTTAGATATGAAAGGCAGTTGGGAGACTTTAGGCCAATCACTGGGAGACTGTGAATTCTAGTCCCTCCTTACCCATGAAAGACAGCTGGGTGACTTTGGGCCAATTACTGGGAGACTGAGTTCTAGTCCCGCCCTGGGCATGAAAGCCACCTGGGTGACTTGGGCCAATCACCAGGAGACTGTGAATTCTAGTCCTGTCTTAGATATGAAAGGCAGTTGGGAGACTTTAGGCCAATCAATGGGAGACTGTGAGTTCTAGACTCGTCTTAGGCAAGAAAAACAGCTGGGTGACTTTGGGCCAATCACTGGGAGACTGTGAATTCTAGTCTCATTTTAGGCATGAAAGCCATTGGGTGACTTGGGCCAATCACTGGGAGACTGTGAATTCTAGTCCTGTCTTAGATATGAAAGACAGCTGGGTGACTTTGGGCCAATCACTGGGAGACTGTGAATTCTAGTCTCATCTTAGGCATGAAAGCCATCTGGGTGACTTGGGCCAATCACTGGGAGACTGTGAATTCTAGTCCTGTCTTAGATATGAAAGGCAGTTGGGAGACTTTAGGCCAATTACTGGGAGACTGTGAGTTCTAGTCTCATCTTAGGCAAGAAAGCCATCTGGGTGACTTGGGCCAATCACCAGAAGACTGTGAATTCTAGTCCTGTCTTAGATATGAAAGGCAGTTGGGAGATTTTAGGCCAATCACTGGGAGACTGTGAATTCTAGACCCTCCTTAGGCATGAAAGACAGCTGGGTGACTTTGGGCCAATCACTGGGAGACTGAATTCTAGTCCCTCCTTACCCATGAAAGACAGCTGGGTGACTTTGGGCCAATTACTGGGAGACTGTGAGTTCTAGTCCCTCCTTACCCATGATGAAAGACAGCTGGGTAATTTAGGGCCAGTCCCTCTCTTCTCTCAGCCCCACACACCTCACAGGGTGGTTGTTGTGGGGAAAATAGGAGGAGGAAGAAGTATTATTATGTACATTCACCACCTTGAGTTCCTGATAAAGAAATAAAGGTGAGATAAAGACATCCAATAAATATTGGCATGAATTATATTGATTTTAGCTCCAAGTTTTTCACATAGCTTTTTTTCTTTTCTTCCTTCTTATTCTCAGAGCGAGAAGCGAAGTTCTAATTTTATGTACTTGATGATTGAATTCCGTTGCGTCAAATGTGATGACAAAGAATATGCCATTGTGTATTATGAGAAGGTATGCAACGCTTGCCGGTTGTTGATTTTTATCTACTTGGTTTGAAGTGCCTCCCAATATGCTACATAGCATGGGAGGATCTAATGCTAAAAAATGATTTGAAGTATCAAAAGAAAGCACCAGCTTCTCACTCTTGATCTCATATGGGGTCAAATATAATCCCCCAGAACAGAAGCTGACATTTGCTCCAAAACAGTTTTTAATATCCATGTGTCGAGCAAATAGGAAACTTAGTGGAAACTTTGAATTTAGAATTTAAATTTAATTTAGAATGTAATATTCTTCGGGTTTTGTACAATCTCCTGAGTGGAACAAGGAAGGATTTATTGAAGTCTGAAAAAGTGAGGACTGAATTAAGGTTTCCTGATTCTCAGCTTAGATTGGCTATGTAATTTCATTCATTCATTCATTCATTCATTCATTCATTCATTCATTCATTCATCCACCCATTCATTTATTCATTCATTCACCCATTCATTCATTCATTCATTCACCCATTCATTCATTCATCCACCCATTCATTCATTCATTCATTCACCCATTCATTCATTCATTCACCCATTCATTCATTCATTCACCCATTCATTCATTCATTCACCCATTCACCCATTCATTCTTTCATCCATCCATCCATCCATCCATCCATCCATCCAACCATTCATTCACCATTCATTCATTCATTCATTCATTCATTCATTCACCCATTCACTCATCCATTCACCCATTCATTCATTCACCCATTCATTCATTCATTCACCCATTCATTCATTCATTCACCCATTCATTCATTCATTCACCCATTCATTCATTCTTTCATCCATCCATCCATCCATTCATTCATTCATTCATCCATCCATTCATTCTATGGAGATTATCAGTCATCCAGGTCATGTTTGTACCAAAATTGTTGTCTTTGAAAAAGCAACTTGAATTTCTTGTTTTGCTTGAAGATGTTTCACTTCTCATCCGAGAAGCTTCTTCAGTTCTGACTGAATGGTGGAGAATGGAAGGATTTATATTCCTTGCAATTCGTGTAGTCCTTCTGTGGCTGCCATCTCTGGTTATCTTATAACTCTATTATGATTAATTAATTATATACATACATACATACATACATACATACATACATACATACATACATACATACATAATATTAAAACAATAAAAGCAGGAAAACCAATGAAATGGGTATCCTCAGTCATCTGGTCATGGTTGTCCCAAAGGTGCTTTTTCAAGAGGCAACTGGACTTTCTGGTTTTTCTTTGAAGACATTTTGCTTCTCATCCAAGAAGCTTCAAATGTCTTCAAAGAAGCAAAATCTCTTCAAAGAAAATCAAGAAAATCTTCTTTCTGGAATCTGTTTGGTTAAAATCGACTATTTTAGAGGTTTTCACTGACTTTTCTTTGTCCTTCTAACCTAGGATGGTGATGAATCATCACCAATTTACACAAGTTCCGAGATTGTGAAGGTTCCAGATCCGCAGATGTCCATGGTAAGAATGTTTGGGTACCACATCACTTGGGGCAGGCTGAATTTGCGAAGAAATACCTGTTTATGAGTCTTGGGGCAGGTGAATATACAAAGAGGGGTTCCAGAGTTGAAGATGGCATTCATTTCAAACAGTTCTTGAGGCCAAAATCCTCAGCAACAAAACTGACAAAGAAGGAAATTGAGCAATGCTAGTGGTGAGATCCTTTCGGCTTTCTGTGTGAATCAGGAAAAATAAAAATGAAATTGTGATATAAGGATTTGAGGATTAGGAAAAAAATGGCAGAAAATAGAAAAATGGAAATATGTTGTAACCTTAGATTAAGAGGTTGCTTTAAATTTATACATATACTATATAAATGTTATTTATATATATATATATATATATATATATATATATATATATATATATATATATATATATATATATATATAGGTTCGTGGGTGTTTGTATGTAGGTCTTTGGTTATTTGGATTTTCTCCCGCGTAAAATTGGAGGTGTCTTGGCGATGTTTCGACGAAGTCTCATTCGTCATCTTCAGGTTGGTGTTTTCGGCTTCATGCTTCGTGCTTCTAGGAGCAATGTGTGTGATCGCAGCTGTTTCTTGGTTCTGACCAATCAGAACACACCTCCACCCAATCAGAACACAGCCAAGCTCCCACCCAATCAGTTCACACCCCTACTGGCAGTTAAAAGGAAGAAAGAGCTGCGATCACACACATTGCTCCTAGAAGCACGAAACCGAAAACACCAGCCTGAAGATGACGAATGAGACTTTGTCGAAACGTTGCCAAGACACCTCCAATTTTACGCGGGAGAAAACCCGAATAACCAAAGACCTACACACACACACACACACACACACACACACACACACACACGTTATATCTGTGGTAAAAGAAAGTCATTTTTCACATTTTTCTTTCTCTGTGCTGTTGGGTTTACTTTCTCTTTCTAGCCACTTTCTCTTTTCTACCTTATCTATTGTTTTTGTTAGTTTTTATCTTTCTAGTTAAAAAAACCAACAACCAATAGTTATCTTTAAAATAATTATCAAGCGCTATCTCTTTTTCTTTCTTTCACATCCACAATGCCTTTTCTTTTTCAAAATGCGATTGATTTTGGCTAACCCTCTTCATCATTACACATCTTTATTTATTGGTTTTAGTTCGAAACAGGGGTGCTATTCAGCAGGTTCTGACTGGAGCAACGGTAGCGGAAATTTTGAGTAGTTCGCAGAACCGGCAAATACCACCTCTGGCTGGTCCCAGAGTGAGGTGGGAATGGAGATTTTGCAATATCCTTCCCCCAGGAGTGGGGTAGGAATTGAGATTTTGCAGTATTCTTCCCCTGCCACGCCCACCAAACCACACCATGCCCATCAAGCCACACCCACAGAACCGGTAGTAAAAGAAAAAAATGAATTCCATCACTGGTTAGACATTATTTTGATATTATTATTTGCAAGAGTATGCTGAAATAATGTCAAATGTACAGAGGAACATTGGGTAGGGAAGGATCAATTTCTGTTCTGCCATTCTTGTCTTAAATGTTCTTAGCTACCATAAGTTGAACTTCCTCCCTCCCTCTATCCCTCCCTCCCTCCCTTACTCACTCACTCACTCACTCACTCACTCAGTTGGAAGTAAAATCACATATTATTCTCTATACAATATTTCTAACACAATTGTAAAATTTATAAATTCATTCCTCTCTCCCTCCCTCTTCCTTCCTTCCTTCCTTCCTTCCTTCCTTCCTTCCTTCCTTCCTTCCTTCCTTCCTTCCTTCCTTCCTCTTCCCTGAACCGTTGAAGCCTCACAATTAATTTGGTCATGGCCTTGCATAAAATTCTGCGTCTTCTCAACTTCTGTCAGTTCAGAGCACAGGATATTGTACACAGGTAATTGCAATTGATTTTTAAACTGATCTGTTTTCTAATTATTATTTTTAAAGGAGAACTTGGTGGAAAGCAAGCATCACAAGCTTGCCAGGAGCTTAAGAAGCGGTCCTTCGGATCATGACCTTAAACCCAATGCTACTACCCGAGATCAGCTGAATGTAAGTTCTTCCTTAAAAAAGTTTGAATTATTCTTTATTTAATTTTGTCGTGTTTATACAGAATTCAGAAGAACAGGGTTTGAAGGGATCTTGGAGGTCTTCTAGTCCAACTTCTCGCTCAAGAAGGAGACCCTCTACCATTCCAGACAAGTGGCTGTTCAGTCTCTTCTTGAAAGCCTCCAGTGATGGAGCACCCACCACTTCTGGTGGCAAGCTGTTCCACTGGTTAATTGTAGTTGGACCACATAGGACACAGTCAGTCAGAACTTGTCTTGCTTGTATCCTTAATCTAGAGGTAGTCTTCTTATTACAGTCATTAAACTGTAGACTACCCAATCACATTAGGACTTAATTCATGTTAATTTACCATATCTGGTTGGTATCTCAGGTCTTTAAACGGGGCAGGTGGGAATGGTTTTGCAACTCCGGGAAGACTCTTTCTTCTGTTTGCGGAAAGGAAGCAGTCCATAAGTCATCATCCTCTTTTAACGACCCCATAATCCCTTGCAGGGCAAAGTCTGGGCAATTGAATGGAGCTGAAGTGTTTACTGGCCGGATGCCCTTCCTGTCGCCAATGCAGAGTTTTGTTCAGCAGATATATTCTCGGTGTGCCCAGAGAGAGAAATGTCTGCCTCTACCTAGGAATCGAACTCACAGCCTCCTGATTGTGAGGCGAGAGCTCCATCTCTAGGCCACCGCTCCACTCTGAAGCAGTCCATAAATATTTGTTGTTTTGTGTTTTGTGTTTTGTGTTTTGTGTTTTGTGTTTTGTGTTTTGTGTTGTGTTTTGTTTTGTTTTGTTTTGTTTTGTTTTGTTTTGTTTTGTTTTGTTTGTTTTGTTTTGTTTTGTTTTGTTTTGTTTTGTTTTGTTTTGTTTTGTTTTGTTTTGTTTTGTTTTGTTTTGTTTTGTTTTGTTTTGTTTTGTTTTAGATCATCGTGAGTTACCCACCTACAAAGCAACTAACGTACGAAGAACAGGACTTGGTGTGGAAGTTTCGATACTACCTTACCCATCAAGAAAAGGTAGGCGTGGAAGCTTAAAAGTGTTAGCATGCTCGGCTGTTGCCATGATTTAACAACTGCTATCATTCCTAAACTGATAATTCGAGATATTTGGCCCCTGTGATTCCCAGCAGGTTCAGAGGACTCAAAAGCCAAGGAAACAAGAGACATTCTGGGTATTTATTTATTTTTTTTGCTTTAATTTATATGCCGCCCTTCTCCGGAGTCTCAGGGCAGCTTACAATGCGTTAAGCAATAGCCTTCATCCTTTTGTATATTTATACAAAGTCAGCTTATTGCCCCCACAATCTGGGTCCTCATTTCACCTACCTTAGAAAGGATGGAAGGCTGAGTCAACCTTGAGCCTTGGCGAGATTCGAACCTGCAGTAATTGCAGGCAGCTGGTCTTAATAAGCTTAATAACAGGGTGCCTTAGACCACTATACTACTAAGGCTCTTTGTTAGAGAGGTAGGTGAGGTGGGTTTGAGAAGGTCTATGGACACATTGGATTGTTGTGGTTTGTTTTCTTTTAAAGTCGCAAACGGGCAACACTCGTTCTTTCTGGCTTGGCTTGAATTGTAATCTTGTGAAACGTTCCTGCCGTTCTGTCACTCCAGAAAATGGGAGAGAGCAATAATTGGTTTTTATCGTATTGATTGACTAAAAGCATCATGTTCCAGCGTGATGGTACCGATCTAGAGTGCAGCAATTATGGCCACCTCTAGATGGCAGGAAGAGTTTTTTTTTTGTAAACTTTCTCTGCAATAATATTTCTCTGCTAAAGATTTTCCTTCCTTCCTTCCTTCCTTCCTTCCTTCCTTCCTTCCTTCCTTCCTTCCATCCATCCATCCTCCCTCGCTTCCTTTCTCCCTCCCTCCCTCCTTTCCTTCCCCCTCCCTTTTTTCCCTCCCGTCCTTCCTTCCTTTCTCCCTCCCTCCCTCCCTCTCTCCCTTCCTTCCCCTTCCCTTTTTCCCTCTTTCCCTCCTTTCCTTCCCCCTCCCTTTTTCCCTCCCTCCCTCCCTCTCTTCCTTCCTTCCTTCCTTTCTCCCTTCCTCCCCTCCTTCCCCTTCCCTTTTTTCCCTCCCTCCCTCCTTTCCTTCCTTCTCCCTTTTTTCCCTCCTCCCTCCCTCTCTTCCTTCTTTCCTTTCTCCCTCCCTCCATCCCTTCCTCAGATCCTTTCCTATTAATACTTCTTTACTCTGCAGCCTCCTTGTCTACTTCTGTTCCCCATTCTGAAAAGGTCCAACAGGAGGAATTCCTCCTTCCCTTGGGATTTAATTGAGAGTCATCCAAGGAAAGCCAAGGTCATTTGCACACCTTTTCCTCTCTGATCACTAAATCAATGCCAGACCCTAGCATTTCTCTCCGTGAAGAACTTCACTAAAATCCCCTTCCCTTTTGAAAGGAATTGCAACAGCAGCAAAAAAAACCCAGCTTCTTTTGCCCCAAGAAGGGGCAGAATCTAAGGCTTTAGATTCCAGGGCAGTTTTGCAGGAAACAGAGACCGAACAAAACTAACACAACATGTAAACAATTCTTCCCCCCCAAACAGTGTTGAAATGTTTCTGCTTTTGAAGTGGAGGGCCAAGATTTGAGTCATTCAGTCCACCCATCCCCCTTTTATTGATATTTGGGTTATTGATTAGCAATAATACCGAGGGCAAAGACAAACCTCCTTATGATTCTTCAAAAGAGAAAGAAGAATTCAAACCCTTTGTGACAATTTTCATTTTTAACAATTTTTAACTTTGTAAACAAAGGGGCGGGATTCAAAAATTTTAGCAACCGGTTCTCTGCCCAGTTGCTGGGTGGGTGTGGCCATGGTGGGTGTGGCCTACTCGGCCTCCTGCACCACGGCGGGGGTGGGTGGGCGTTTTTGCCCTCCCCAGGCTCCAGAGGTTTTTCTTGAGCCTCCGGGAAGGCAAAAATGGCCTCCCCCAGGCTCCGAAGGCCCTCCGGGGGCCGGAAACAGGCTCATTTCTGGAACTTCCGGGAGGTCCATTTTTTTGCCCTCCCAGAGCCTCTACGCAGGCCCTACAACTTACCTGGCATCCAAAACAGGCCACATGGAGACTCCTGGGAGGGGCGGGGCAGGATGGGCGGGGCCAGCCAGTTCTTGCAATTACTGGTTCAGCGAACCAGATGTAAAATTAGCATCCGGTTCTCCCAAATTGGTCCGAACCGGCTGAATCCCACATCTCCTTGTCTTTGTTGCTAATGCAGTTCTAATAAACGAAGTCAATGTTTCTTGAGACTTTAAAAAAAAACTTCAGATCTGTAAAAAAAAAAAAAGGAAAAAAAAATCCCAATAACAACAGGGATTAACTCATCCTGCGAAACACCAATGAATATGGATTTCTTTATTTAAAATATTTATCTTCCCTTCCTCGTGCATTGCGTCCCCTGAGAATAGGTGAAATTAAAAATGCATTTGAACGCCACAAACAACATCCATAGTGCAGCAAAATACGGTTACAAAAAAACCCATTATTCTCACAAAGTCCTTAATGGGATGGACTGCACCATGTAGTTCCACGCTCTACAATTCCTAAGTGAATGAGATTGCATTTACTAGTGATCTTTGCTTAACAACCACTTGTTCAGCCACTGGTCAAACTTACAACAGTGTGGAAAGATGGATACTTATGGCCATTCCTCATACTTACAGTAGGTCAGTCACAGAGTCCCTTCAGTCTTCATTTGTGACCCCCCTTCATCGGCTTCCTACAAGCAAAGTCGATGGGGAAATTGACTGGAGGTGTTAAAGAGCAACCGAGTGACATTCTTGCTTAATGACCTGCACCGATTCGCTTAACAACTGCAACTGGAAGTTCTGTCATGAAGCACCATGGTCGTGTGACGTTGCCTTTTATGACCGTGTTACCCAGCGGTGCCATCCACGGTACTCTCTGAGCTCGTTTCATTCTTGCAGACGTTTCATTACCCAACTAGGTAACATCATCAGTGTCCTATCATGTGCTGATGATGTTGCCTAGTTGAGTAATGAAATGTCTGCAAGAAAATAACCCAGCTCATAGAGCACGAATCCCCCTCTTCCTCCTCCTCCTCCTCTTCCTCCTCCTCCTCCTCCTCCCCCTCCTCCTCCTCCTCTTTCCAAACCCTACTCCCTTCTAGCACTAATAATGTTACCTAGTTGGGTCATGAAACATCTGCAAGAAAACAACCAATCTCAGAGAGCACCAAGAACCCCATAGTTGTCCTCCTCCTCCTCCCTCTCCTCCTCCCTCTCTTCCTCCTCCTCCTCCCTGCAAACTCCACTACTTCTAGTGCTGATGAGGGGTAATGAAATGTGGGCAAGAAAACAACCAATCTCCGAGAGCACCAAGGACCCCACAGATGCTTTCTTCTATAGGCGTAACTTCTCAATGGGAATTTCAGTCCCAATTGTTGTCATTATAAGAGGCCTACCTGTAGCTTGTAGTAAGATCAGCCCATCGTTTCTTCTGACACTCCATTTAAAACAACAACAACCTCTTTTCTTGCTTAATGTTTCCTCTGCGTTGGTGAAAGGGACGTTGACCGATGTCTGACTTTTGATCCCAGGCCTTGACCAAATTCTTGAAGTGTGTCAACTGGTGTCTTCCTCAAGAAGCAAAGCAAGCTTTGGAACTCCTGGGCAAATGGAAGCCGATGGATGTGGAAGATTCCTTGGAGCTTCTGTCCTCACAGTTCACCAACCCAACTGTGCGGCGTTACGCCGTGGCCAGATTGCAGCAAGCGGATGATGAGGTAAGAGAATGACAAGAGTTGGAAGGGACCTTAGAGGTCTTCTAGTCCAGCCCCCTCCTCCGACAGGAAACCCTATGCCATTTCAGACAATGTCCAACCTCTTCTTAAAAGCCTCCAGTGAATAAGGACGGACTCCCATTTAGAAAATGTCCTACGAGGCAGGTAAAATCTTGGAGAATAAGAAAAGTTGGAAGGCACCTTGAAGGTCTTCTATTCCAACTTCCCTGGTCAAGCAGGAAACCCTTTCCCATTTCACACCCGGAATTCCTCAGTCAGGATCTCCAAACTTGTGGACTTTTAAGACTTGTGGACGTCAACTCCCAGAATTCTCCAGCCATCATGAGGAATTCTGGGAATTGAAGTCCACAAGTCTTAAAGTCTCCATGGTTGATGGCCCCTGTTTTAAAGCAAGGACATGCAAGTGACTTTAAGACTTGTGGACTTCAATTCCCAGAATTCCTCAGCCAGCCCTCTCTTCAATTTACGGCAGGAATGGTGATGATTTGCCATTATTGTTATTATGGGATAGTTCCCCTTCCAGGCTGGTTTCTCTTTTTGTCTTCCTGCTTCCTAGCCCTCCTCAACCCTTTGTGGCCCCTTCTTCATTGAAAAAAAAATAGATGGATAGATGGATGGATGGATGGATGGATGGATGGATAGATAGATAGATGATAGGTAGGTAGGTAGGTAGATGATAGATGATAGATAGATAGATAGATAGATAGATAGATAGATAGATAGATAGAGAGAGAGAGAGAAAGATAGAGAGATAGAGAGATAGAGAGATAGAATGAATTCTTTATTGGCCAAGTGTGATTGGACATACAAGGAATTTGTCTTTGGTATATATGCTCTCAGTGTACATAAGGAGAATAAAATACATTCATCAAGAATAAAAAGATACTACACAGTGATAGTCAAGGTTACTAATAAGCTATCAAATTGTACTAGGAAACAAATAAAAACAATAAAAATTGAAAGATAGAAGCAACATGGTTATAGTCATAAGTGGGAAGAGATAGATACTAGTAAGGAAGAGAAGAATAATAATAATACAGTCTTAGTAAATTATTTGACAGTGTTGTGGGAATTAGTTGTTAAGCAGAGTGATGGCATTCAGGGAAAAACTCCTTGTGTCTAGGTGTCGAGTTGTTCTGGTGTGCAGTGCCCTATAGCGTCTTTTTGAGGGTAGAAATTCAAACAATTTATGTGCAGGATGTGAGAGGTCTGTGGATATTTTCACAGCCCTCTTTTTGACTCGTGCAGTATACAGGTCCTCCATGGAAGGCAGGTTGGTAGCCATTGCTTTTTCTGCAATGAGAAGATTAATAGTAGTACAGACTTAGTAAATAGTTTGACAGTGTTGAGGGAAATATTGAGTGATGGCATTTGTTCTTGTGTCTAGTTGTTCTGGTGTGCAGTGCTCCATAGCGTCCTTTTGAGGGTAGGAGTTGAAACAGTTTGTGTCCAGGATGTGAGGGGTCTCTTGATATTTTCACAGCCTTCTTTTTGACTCATGCAGTATACAGGTCCTCAATGGAAGGCGGGTTGGTAGCCATTGTTTCTTCTGCAGTTCTAATTATCCTCTGAAGTCCATGTCTGTCTTGTTGGGTTGCAGAGCCAAACCAGACAATTATAGAGGTGCAGATGACAGACTCAATAATTCCTCTGTAGAACTGGATCAGTAGCTCCTTGGGCAGTTTGAGCTTCCTGAGTTGGTGGAGAAAGAACATTCTTTGTTGAGCTTTTTTGATGACGTTTTTGATGTTAGGCGTCCATTTTAAGTCTTGAGATATGATAGAACCTAGAAACCTGAAGGACTCAGGTTTACTAGACAACACAGTATCAACAGTGTTGTCTAGTATTGTAAGAGGTGGTAGTATAGTAAAGTCATGTCCCATATCAAATTTCCCTGCTTCCCATGTTTTCTCCCCAGGATCTGCTGATGTATTTGCTGCAGCTTGTCCAAGCTCTGAAATATGAAAATTTTGATGACATCAAAAGCGGGTTGGAGCCCACAAAGAAGGAAACTCAAGGATCCGTGTCAGAGAGCATGGCCGCATCTGGAGTCACTGCGCCTGAAATAGAGAGGTAGGTGAAAGATTTGCTGAATGTTAAGTCTATATATAGGTACACCCCGACTTACGACCAGAATGGAGCCTGCCCACTATGGTTGCAAGTCATGACGGTTGTAAATTGGGTTACCTATGAGACTGGCCTGATTTTACGACCTTTTCTTTGTGGCTGCTATGGTCGTAAAATAAGCACCATGGGCATTAACTGAAATGCCACATTTGTTACATGAACAGATGTTTTGCTATGCATCGGTTCTGCTGAAAATAGAAAATGAATGCCAGGTTTTGGAAAACCATCATAAAATGCAATCATGTGACTGCAGCAAGAGCAAGAGCACTTAAACTTATATACCACTTCATAGTGCTTTACAGCCCTCTCTAAGTGGTTTACAGAGTCAGCATATTGCCCCCAACAATCTGGGTCCTCATTTCACCAGTGGTGAAATCTGGCCGGATCTATCCGGTTCGCGCAAACTGCGCAAACCCCACAAACTGGGTCCTCAATTTACCTACCTTAGAAAGGATGGAAGGCTGAGTCAACCTTGAGCCTGGTGAAATTCGAACTTACAGTAATTGCAGACAGCTGGTGTTAATCACCATGCTATTAGTCTGCTGAGCCACCAGGTTCTGCAGTGCTCTATAGCGTCGTTTTGAGGGTAGGAATTGAAACAGTTTATGTCCAGGATGTGAGGGGTCTGTAAATATTTTCACAGCCTTCTTTTTGACTCATGCAGTATACAGGTCCTCAACAGAAGGCAGATTGGCAGTAATTGTTTCTTCACTTCAGGAACTCAGAGTTTGTTCCCGACAAATGCCCCTCCCCACAGCATCTCCTTGAGTCTCATTCCCCAGGTGTGCCTGGTGAAGATGGGCGGGGCATTCTCCTCGCGAACAGCCTGCTCCCTCTGCGCTGATCACGCCTTCTCTGCACTCTCCGAGCCCTTGCATCAGGAGGGGGTGGTTCTTACTCCTCGTCTGAGCTCTGTCTCTCCTTTTCATCCTGCCCCTGTCCTTCCCCGCCTGCAGGCCTTACTAATTCTGAAAAGCCTTGCCTGGACTGACTCTGCCCTTCCCCAGTTTCCTCCAAGGCCAACGGAGCTGCCCTCTCACTCGCTGGGCCAGCTCATCTTCCGCCGCAGATTCAGACTCCCAACGGGGGCATGATACCTTTCTTGCCAGTGTTGTTAAGTGAATCACTGCAGCGGTTAAGTTAGTCACACAGTTGTTCAGCGAATCTGGTTTTGCTTGTCAGAAGGTCGCTAAAGGGGATTGTTGCAGTGACCCCGGGACACTGCAACGGTCATAAATATGAATCAGTGGCCCATTTTGATTTTGATCACATGACCATGGGGATGTAGCAATGGACGTAAGAGTGAAAAAGGTCATAAGTCACCTTTTTCAGTGCCATTGTACTTGTATTTTTCGGACTATAAGACGCACCGGAGTATAAGACGCACCAAGATTTTGAAGAAGAAAACAAGAAAAAAAATTAGTTTTGGGCCTTAGCGCATCAGGTTTTGGCCCTCCCCGGGCCCCAGGAGCACTCTGCAGGCCTCCCAAACCCTCAGCGCATCCAGTTTTTGTGAAAAACAGGCCTGTTTTTGGCGAAAATAGGATGCGTGGGGTGGGCTTTCGGGAGGCCAAAAATGGCTCTATTCGGTGTATAAGACTCACCAACATTTCCACCCTCTTTTGGGGGGGGGGAAGTGCATCTTATACTCTGAAAAGTACTGTAACTTCGGTCACTAAATAAACTGTTGTAAGTCAAGGATTACCCGTCCGTCCATCCGTCCCCCCCTGCAAGGAGGTCCATTGTAATTTTGAACCAACACTAAGCGACCGGTCATAATTTAAGGATTTCCTGTAGTCGGTTTAGTTAATTATGCCCAAGTCTATTTAACCTTGCTAAACAGCTCGCTTGTAAAAAAAGAAAGATTTGAGCCTAGGGTGTTTAATGAGAACGGATCTACCACCATTTTGAAATTGTAAAGCAATTACGGTATTCGTATTTGCAGTTTGCTCTTTTAAATCTCCTCAAGGAGGAGGCGACATCCATTCAACCCAGCAGGACCCTGGTTGCCGTGTTTACTTCTGAATAAATGTGCTTACCTCGAAATAATTAAATTAATAATTAATCCTCTTCAGGAGGCAAATGTACGGAAGGTTAACTGCAAAATCATAAAAGAGGCATCGCGTTGCAGGAAACAGCAAGCGCTGGCTATTGATTTCACATTCTTTTTTTAAAAAACAATTCATTATTGAAGAAGGTGTGTACATTTGCGTAGGAAACTGTACATGTAATTGCAAAATCGCAACGAAGGGGAAGGGAGAAGGTGAAGGATATTCACAAATGTGTTTGAATTTTTTTAAAATACTTTATACACTTAGGAACGTGGCTTAATTTGCTTCCTTTGCTTGCTGTGGGAATTTATTATTATCGGATTAGAATTTTATCCTGCTTTTATTACTTTATACACTCGGGCGAGGGGGGGCACACTTAATGTTCCTTTCACCTCCTATTTTCCCCAAGAACAACAATCCTGTGAGGTGGATTGGTTTGAGAGAGAGAGTGAATGAATCAAAGTAATCCAGCGACTTCTGTGCGTAAGACAGGACTAGAACTCATAGCCTCCTGGTGTTTGGCCCAGGAATCTCTTGAGTTCTAATCCAGCCTTACGGCATGAAAGCCGGGTGGGTGGCTTTGGGCCAATCACCAGGAGACTGTGAGTTCTAGTCCCATCTTAGCCATGAAAGCCGGGTGGGTGGCTTTGGGCCAATCACCAGGAGATGGTGAGTTCTAGTCCCACCTTAAGGCATGAAAGCCAGCTGGTGACTTTAGGCCAATCACCAGGAGACGGTGAGTTCTAGTCCCATTTTAGCCATGAAAGCCGGGTGGGTGTCTTTGGGCCAATCACCAGGAGATGGTGAGTTCTAGTCCCACCTTAAGGCATGAAAGCTAGCTGGTGACTTTAGGCCAATCACCAGGAGATGGTAAGTTCTAGTCCTGCTTTAGGCATGAGAGCTGGGTGGGTGACTTTGGGCCCATCACTAGGACACTGTGAGTTCTAGTTCCACCTTAGGCATGAAAGACAGCTGGGTGACCATGGGGCAGTCACCAGGAAATGGTGAGTTCTAGTCCTGCCATAGACCAGAGAGCTGGATGAGTGACTTTGGGCCAATCACCAGGAAATGGTGAGTTCTAGTCCCAGTTTAGGCAAGAAAGGCAGCTGGGTGACCATGGGCCAATCACCAGGAAATGGTGAGTTCTAGTTCTGCCATAGACCTGAGAGCTGGATGAGTGACTTTGGGCCAATCACCAGGAAATTGTGAATTCTAGTCCCACTTTAGGCATGAAAGGCAGCTGGGTAACTTTGGCCAATCACCAGGAGACGGTGAGTTCTAGTCCTGCCATAGGCATGAAAACTGGTTGGGTGACTTTGGGTCAGTCACACTCTCTCAGCCCAATTTACTTCACAGGGTTGTTGTTGGAAAATAGAATGAAGTAGGAGGATTAGGTATGTTCGCTGCCTTAAGTTGTTTATTAAAAAAAAAATAACGAAGGTAGAATATAAATATAAATAAATACATATTACGTTTTTTTTTCTCCAATACTACAATGACACGAGTTATAACTTGAAAACAAAACGAGGCCATGATAGCACATGACCAAATCATATGAGCCAGAGCCTGCAATATTTTTGCAATGCCAAGACAAGAAATCCATTTTAAAATTCGCCTTCTGCTACCGATAGCCTCTCACCGGCCAGTACGGTTTTTTTAAAAAAAATTAATTTATTTATTTTTATATGCCGCCCTTCTCCGGAGACTCAGGGTGGCTTACAATGCGTTAAGCAATAAGCTTATTGCCTCCACAAACTGGGTCCTCATTTTACCCACCTTAGAAAGGATGGAAGGCTGAGTCGACCTTGAGCCTGGTGAGGATTGAACTCGCAGTAATTGCAGGCAGCTGGATGTTAAATGCTGCCTTAGTAGGAGGCATTAGCCTCCTACGCCACTCAGGCTCCCACAGAGAGGGACTCCTCGGGGTGCCGTCGGTCAAACTATATCGACTGGCGACTCCCAGGGGGAGATCCTTCTCTGTGGGGGCACCTGCCCTCTGGAACGAATTGCCCCGGGATTTACGGATGATCCCTGACCTACGCATCTTTCGTCGTGCCCTCAAGACGCTGTTGTTTCAACAAACTGGGCTGGCCTGAATACCAAGATCAATTTTAAGTTATACGGATTGTCTTTGCCTTAATTGAAATGGGCCAAATTATTTAATTCCTTTTAAACTGTTTTAAATTTTATACGTGTTCGTTTTTTATTTTGGCTGTGCACCGCCCTGAGTCCTTCGGGAGAAGGGCGGTATAAAAATTAAATAAATAAAATAAATAAATAAAATAAAATACTTTTTGACGACTCCAGTTAAAAATGAAATCCTATTTTCCGACAAATTAAATGCAATATATTCAATTCATTCAATTCATTTATAAAAATAAATTATTTTTTTTTTTTTAAAAAAAATATTCAGTTCAGGTCCACTCAATTCAATATAGGGTCTCTTGCTGGAGCAAGGGGTTGGACTATTATTTATTTGTTTATTTATTTATTTATTTATTTATTTATTTATTTATTTATTTATTTATTTATTATATTTCTATACCTCCTTTCTCCCGTAGAACTCAAGGCGGTGTACAGTCAAGAAAAATATAGACACACAAACATCATAAAATTGCTAATTAAAATTATTACTTAGTTTGGTCAGTTAAATAAAACCCAGAATTAGATAACATTTAAAAAATCATTCACATGTTCATATGTTTAGCCCTGCCTGTTGGAACATCAGGGTTTCGAGGGCATGGCGGAAAGCACGGAGATCAGGGATATTCCGTATCTCAGGGGGCAGTTCATTCCAAAGGGTTGGAGCCCCCACAGAGAAGGCCCTCCCCCTGGGAGTCGCCAGTCGACATAATTTGACTGACGGTACCCTGAGTAGTCCCTCCCTGCGAGAACGAACTGGTCGGTGGGAGGCTATTGGTGGCAAAAGACGGTCTCGTAGGTACCCAGGTCCTAAGCCATGGAGCGCTTTAAAGGTGATAACTAACACCTTGAATCGCACCCGGAAGACCACCGGGAGCCAGTGCAGCTCGCGTAGGAGAGGTGTTACATGGGCGTAACGAGCTGCGCCCATAATCACCCGCGCGGCTACGTTCTGGACCAGTTGGAGCCTCCGGGTGCTTTTCAAGGGGAGCCCCATGTAGACCTCCGAAGTCCCTTCCCACTGTGTAAATTCTATGTTTTCATTTCTTAAAGCACGGACCTCATTGGTTTTTTTCCCCCCAGAATACTGTACATCAAAATTTTCTCTCTCTTGTTTTTTTTTTTTTTTCTCTTTTTCTCCTCAGCTCACAGATCATCACAAGCCCTCTGCCCCTCATTTCTTCCCCGCTACCAACGGCAAAAACGAAAGAATCGGCTGAGAATGAAAACCTCGAGGTGAGCAGAGTACCGAGAGTTTTGGTAAAGGATAAGCTTTGGAAATGGGAAACGGGTGTAGGTATCTGGATCCAGGTATGTGTTGAAAAAGGTCAAAATGAAGGCCATAATCATGCAATTAAAGCCGAGCTGTTTTTTTAACCAGACGTCTACAGTAGTGGCCAAAATTGTGGAAACCTTTTGGGAAAAGTGTATTTTTGAGGTTTGATGGCAAATAACATCACTTTTTTTTTTTTTTGGAGTTTCAAGGTAATCCTATTCCACTGCTGGAATGGCCTGGGGATAGCCCAGATCTTCACCAATTTAGGTGATATGCTTTAGAAGAGCATATGACGGCCGTGGCCAGGGGGGCTTTCTATCAGGTTCGCCTGATACGCCAGTTGCGCTCCTTTCTGGATCGGGACTCCTTATGCACGGTCACTCATGCCCTCGTCACTTCCCTCCGGGACTACTGCAACGCTCTCTACATGGGGCTCCCCTTGAGGAGCACTCGGAGGCTCCAACTGGTGCAGAATGCAGCCGCGCGGGTACTTGTGGGGGCGACATGGCGCTCCCACGTGACACCTCTCCTGCGCGAGCTGCATTGGCTTCCAGTGGTCTTCCGGGTGTGCTTCAAGGTATTGATTCTCATCTTCAAAGCGCTCCATGGCTTAGGGCCCGGTTATTTACAAGACCACTTTCTGCCACCGATAACTTCCCACCGGCCAATACACTCCCACAGAGAGGGTCTCCTCAGGGTGCTGTCGGTCAGGCAATGTCAGCTGGCGACCCCCCGGGGAAAAACCTTCTCTGTGGGGGCACCCGCCCTCTGGAATGAGCTACCTCCAGGAATACGACTGATCCCGGACCTCTGTACCTTCCGCTGGGCTCTGAAGACTTTTTTATTTCAGCAAGCTGGGCTGGGTTAAAAATCTTTTAATTGCTGAATTTTATGGGTAAGGGGTTTTAAATTGGGGGAAGCCAATATATAATTTTGTTTTTATAGTATTTTAATGTTTTTATTGTATGTTTTTTAATTTTGGTTGTTCACCGCCCCGAGTCCTTCAGGAGAGGGGGCGGTATAAAAATCAAATAAATAGATAGATAGATAGATAGATAGAAAATCTATGGAGCCCACTAAAGAAACTTGTTAGACAGAAGCGGCCCAGCAATAAAACCCAGTTAATAGAAGCCATCCTTCAATCTTGGTTTCACATGATAACAGCTGCGGAACTGAAAGACTTGGTTCACTCCATGGGAAGACGTTGTAAGGCCGTCATTCATGCTAAAGGTTACCCAACTAAGTATTAATTCACATGGTCATTTTTGTATATCTCGCTTTTTCTATGGTGATCATTTTTGTATATCTCTTCTACGAGTTTCACTTTTCTTCTTTATACCGTAACTGCTATTCTAATAGCAAATCCTTCATAAAAGTTATTGCATTACATTCTTGATTAAATTATCTTTGTGAAAAATGGGATGCGCAGAGGGTTTGGGAGGCCTGCAGAGTGCTCCTGGGAGCCGGGGAGGGCAAAAACTTTTTTTTCTTGTTTACCTCTTCGAAATCTTTGTGCGTCTCATACTCCGGTGCGTCTTATAGTCTGAAAAATACGGTAACTATTTCCCCCCTCCAAGATAGCTTCAGCCAGACTCACTTCAGGGTTGACGGGAGGAAAGCAAAACTCATGGCTTTCATTAATTGTTTATTTGTTTGTTTGTTTAATTAATTTGTCACCAATTTCAGCAAGATTCTGGGCTGCTAACAACATCATAGATTATTTGCCCAGCTCTAGAGTACCTGCAATGAAGATTTTTTTAAAATTGTAATATTATTGGGTTTTATCTAGATATGGATTGCTGAAGAGGATGATAGATAGATAGATAGATAGATAGATAGATAGATAGATAGATAGATAGATAGAAAATCTATGGAGCCCACTAAAGAAACATTAGACAGAAAGAGAAACTAGACAGAAGCCCAGCAATAAACCAGTTAATAGAAGCCATCCTTCAATCTTGGTTTCACATGATAACAGCTGCGGAACTGAAAGACTTGGTTCACTCCATGGGAAGACGTTGTAAGGCCGTCATTCATGCTAAAGGTTACCCAACTAAGTATTAATTCACATGGTCATTTTTGTATATCTCGCTTTTTCTATGGTGATCATTTTTGTATATCTCTTCTACGAGTTTCACTTTTCTTCTTTATACCGTAACTGCTATTCTAATAGCAAATCCTTCATAAAAGTTATTGCATTACATTCTTGATTAAATTATCTTTGTGAAAAATGGGATGCGCAGAGGGTTTGGGAGGCCTGCAGAGTGCTCCTGGGAGCCGGGGAGGGCAAAAACTTTTTTTTCTTGTTTACCTCTTCGAAATCTTTGTGCGTCTCATACTCCGGTGCGTCTTATAGTCTGAAAAATACGGTAACTATTTCCCCCCTCCAAGATAGCTTCAGCCAGACTCACTTCAGGGTTGACGGGAGGAAAGCAAAACTCATGGCTTTCATTAATTGTTTATTTGTTTGTTTGTTTAATTAATTTGTCACCAATTTCAGCAAGATTCTGGGCTGCTAACAACATCATAGATTATTTGCCCAGCTCTAGAGTACCTGCAATGAAGATTTTTTTAAAATTGTAATATTATTGGGTTTTATCTAGATATGGATTGCTGAAGAGGATGATAGATAGATAGATAGATAGATAGATAGATAGATAGATAGATAGATAGATAGATAGATGATAAAGAGATGAGAGAGAGATAATAGAGAGAGAAAGAGATAGATAGATAGATAGATAGATAGATAGATAGATAGATAGTAGATGAATGAATGGATGGATGGATAGATAGATAGATAGATAGATGATAAATAAATAGACGATAGATAGATAGATATTTGCTCCTAGAAGCACGAAGCCGAAAACACCAGCCTGAAGATGATGAATGAGACTTCGTCGAAACGTCACCAAGACACTTCCAATTTTACGCGGGAGAAAACCCAAATAACCAAAGAGATAGATAGATAGATGATAGATAGATAGATAGATAGATAGATAGATAGATAGATAGATAGATGATAAATTCTACCGCATAGCTCCCAGCGACTGGTAAGATCCCATAGAGTTGGTCTCCTCCGGGTCCCGTCAGCTAAACAATGCCGGCTGGCGGGCCCGTGGGGGGAGGGCCTTCTCTGTGGCTGCCGCAGCTCTCTGGAACCAGTTACCGCCTGAGGTCCAGACCATCCCCACCCTACTGGCCTTCCGGAAAGCGGTGAAGACCTGGCTCTTCCGGCAGGCCTGGGGCCGTTGATCTCGCTTTGCGATCTGGCGAGATCCGTCCATGAATGGTGTGAATGCGTTCTAAGGTTTTTAATGTTTTTTAATCTTTTAAATGTTTTTAGAATGGATTTTTTAAAATGTATTGTGAGCCACCCTGAGTCTCCGGAGAGGGGTGGCATATAAATTAAATAAATAAATAAATAAATAAATAAATAAATAAATAAATAAATAAATAAATAAATAGTAGATAGATAGATAGATAGATAGATAGATAGATAGATAGTAGATAGATGGTAGGATGGATGGATGGATGGATGGATGGATCGATCGATCGATCGATCGATAGATAGATAGATAAGGGGTTGGGCTAGAATACCTCTAAGGTTCCTTCCAGCTCTATTCTGATTGATTGAAATCTTAGATTTGTCAAATTCCTGACTTTAAAAAAAAATCCTCTTTTTTTTTCTTTTCTTCCAGCAAGACCTTTGTACATTCTTAATATCACGAGCATGCAAGAATTCCACCCTGGCAAACTATTTGTACTGGTGAGTAAGCTTTTGAACTTCTCAGTGCTGAAAATTGTCCCAGGTACAATTTTAATAAGAGTTCAGAAACACAAGAGTTCCTTGATATTAATCAGTTGTGGCTTGTCCATCCCTGTTGTGGATGCTCCATCACTGGAGGAGTTTAAGAAGAGACTGGGCAACCGTTTTTCGGGAATGGTACAGGGCCTCCTGCTTGAGCAGGGGGTTGGACTAGAAGACCTCCAAGGTCCCTTCCATCTCTGTGTTTCTGTTATTCACTTGCATTTTCTGGTAGGAAGATGTAGGAAAGAATTTTGAACTACCACAAACTGTGACATCTGAGGATTTCATTTTGCAATACAGACTCTTGTTTCCTCTCAGATGGGAAGGAAATAACGTTGAAAAATCATACATTCATCCCATCTTGGGGGAGATACAGGAAGTCCTCAACTTATAACAGTTCATTTAGTGTCCATTCGAAGTTAGAACGCCGCTGAAAAACTGACTTGCGACCATTTTTCACACTTACGACTGTTCCAGCATCCCCAGGGTCACGTGATCAAACTTCACAATGATTGGCACCACTGACTCATATTTATGACAGTTGCAGCGTCCTGAGATCATGTGATTCCCCCTTCTGACAAGCAAAGCCAGCTTCACTTAACAACAGGGTCACTAAGTTAACAGCTTCAGTGATTGGCTTAACAACCGTGGCAAGAGCAGTTATAAAACGGGACAAAATGCAGTTAACAAATGCCTCGCTTACCAATAAAAAATTGGGGGCTCAATTTGTGGTCGTAGTTCAAGGAACACCTGTATTGTCTGGGTTCATAGATTGAACAAAATCAAATGATTCGTTGGTTGTTATTTTTTTGGAAAAAAGTTTTTTATTTTTAAACAAACATACATAAAACCATCTTCAATTGCAAACAGCATGTCGGTTGATTACAAGTCTTTTGTGCATCATTCACCAAATTCATAGCTTACAATTTACAGTTTACCTAGATTCTCATATCATCGACCTAATATATATCTATATATTATTATCCTCATTAATCATTTATTTGAATATGACTATTTCTTCCCTCATTATCATTCAAAGTATTCTAGAATTTGAGTTAATTTTTTATTTATAACATTCATTTCAACCTCCTGAATCTATCCAATAAACATATGTCTATATGTTATATTTCACACATTTCTACAATTCTTGTATTGCAAAAGTCTCTACCTTATTTCATTTCCATATTTTTTTACCTAGCCATTGGTAAAATAGATCCCATATCTTATAGTATTGTTTATCTCCTTGTTCTCTAATTTCAAATGTCAATTTGCTCATTTCAGCACATTCCATTATTTTCTTAATAACTTCGTTCTGCGTTGGTATTTTCTCATTTTTCCAATTTTTAGCAAACACAATCCTAGCCGCTGTTAATACATTCACAATCAAGTATCTCAATTCTTTATTATACATTTCAGGTATAATCCTCAGATATTCAGATATAATACTCTGGTTTTTCTTCAGATTGTATAAATCTTTCGCCTTGTTGGTTGTTTTTGAAGGTTACAGCTACATGGCGAATTTTGGTTTATTCCATTGGAAATAACAATGGACTAACAGGGTTAATGGAACATATGAAGCTAGCTTACAAGCTGGGTTCATATGTAGAGTGCAGAGGTGGGATTCATATACTGTAGCAACCGGTTCGGTCAGCACCGGAAATGTGAGTGTGCACGCATGCGTGCGGTGTCGCAAAACATGACAATTTGTGCGCGCATGCGCAATCCACATATACACGTGGCGTCAAAACCACAGCGATATAGTACGGGATTGTGCCCAGGCGGGTGGGTGGCCAAGTCGAGGACTGCCTGTAGACCGTGGTGAAATGTAAAATTTGTTACTGTTGGTTCTGTGGGCGTGGCTTGGTGGGGGCGGGTTAATGTGATTGGGTGGGCGTGGCCAACTTTTTTTTTTTACTTTTTTAAAGCATATTTTACAACCTATTCAGGCGAATAGGTTGTAAAAAAATGCTTTTAAAAGGCTCTGACGATCACAGCTGTGGCGCTCAATCGTCAGAGCCTTTTTTTAACCTTTTAAAAGCAGGAAGGAGCGACACCCGGGCGCGTGGGCGGAGCCTCGTGCCGCCATCGCTACCGGTTCTCCGAACCACCTGCCACAATCGCTACCGGATCGCCCGATCCGGTCTGAACATTTCACCTCTGCCTTCTCTCCCCAAACTGGTCCTTTGCGGCTGTTTCATCCCAGCTTCTTGCTGTCCTCATGAAAGGTACGTGATTGTGGAGTGCGAAGACCGAGACACACAACAGAGGGATCCCAAAACTCACGAAATGTACCTGAACGTCATGCGTAGGTTTAGTCAAGCCCTCTTAAAGGTAAGGATTATTATTATTATTTTTTCCCCCATTATGCAAGAGGGACATTGGAAAAACTACAGGCGAGAAGCAAAAGATAATATTTGTAGCTCAGGGTTGAAAGCACCAGAAGGAAGACAAGACAAGGAACAATGGATGGAAATCTCAAAAATGTTAAATCATGTCAGGGTAACGATTTAAGAGCTGACCAGCTGCTACGATGATGTAATGCTGGGAATGAGTCAGCAAGGTTTTTTTTGGCTGTTATCACTTTAAGAGCCTGTAATAAGAAAAGGCCCTGTTGGGGTGTATCTCTCTCTCTCTTTCCATGTGTGCTTCTGTGCTGTAATTGCTGATTGCTGTTTGTTTGAGGTCCGACTAAAATACGTGTAAGTATATATTCTTTGTAGATAAAACCACTCTTTAAATGCCCAGATGGCAAAAGAATTCATCAATCCAAAAGTATCTGGATGGCAACAGATGGTAGGAAACAGATTTGAAACGTCTTAGTAGTGGCACCACTGTCTTCCTTAAGAAACCTGGAAGATCTATCCAGTGACCTTATTTTCCTCCTTTTTTGGTATTTGACAAAATCCTTTTAATGTAAAAAAACCCGTAACTTTCTCGGGCCTCAAGATCTAGGCTTTGTAGATGTCTGATCCCTTCATCGCTTCTGGTTGTTTTCCCATTCCTTGCTAATCTCTTGACAATATGTTGCTTTGCATGATTTTATGGCTGCACATCATTTGCAGAATGTTGATGGTAAGGTAATTAATAAGCTTTAAAATGATAAAGAGCGACATTTTGTTTTTACAGTGTCTCTCTTGGCAGCTGCAGCTTAAGGGGCTTTAGAAAATGCAGGAAACTACAATTAGAAATCCAGGTGCTTAGGGGTACACAGCACCCAACAATAATAATACCGTGTTTTCCCGAAAATAAGACCCTGTCTTATATTTTTTTGAACTCTGAAATAAGCACTTGGCCTTATTGCCATGCGCTCAAAAGACTGATTGGGCTTATTATCAGGGGATGTCTTATTTTGAGGGAAACACTAAAACCCACAACTTTTGATGAAATCAGAATGTTATAAAAAAGGGGAAATGAAACCAAGGAAAACAAACTTATTTTTTCCCAGATGTCCCTAAAATCTTTTTCTTTTTATGGCTCACATGTAAGGAAATTAGTTTACGAATGTTGATTAAAATGGGATTGAAAACAGAAAATGTAATGGACAATGTAATGGACTCTCACTCGATGAGTATGGGGGGGGGGGAGAAGCTATCCACCACTTCAATATCACTGTCAACTGCGTGTTGATTATGGCCACAGTTAGACAGAGAGCCTCCTTGGGGTATCCATGGGACCATAGGGCATCAACCCGGGCACAAGCAGTTGTGACATGTTCCAGCCACAACGGTTGTCCTTGTGAATTGAAAAGAAGGCCGTCACCCTCCCTGGGGTAAGATGGAGAAATGTAGAAATCACTGCTGATTATTCGCTGGAGGTGACTGTCCTGCCAGTGGAGGTCACAGCCTTCAATGGCACGAGTGAATACTGTGCGCCGTGACCTTGTTAAAGAGCTTTGCCTGTGACTAGAGCTCTGAGTAAGTGCACTAGTGATGTTGGGAAGTTCATTGCTGTAGTTTCCATCTTCCAGTGGACAAATATCCATATCACCCCACTTCCGGAGCTGTCGCAGCCAGCATGCCTTTTCTTCTAGTGTGCAGTGGGAATTTAATACAACACACACCCATAGGGCCCCCAACTCATCCCACAGTTGTCGACATTTGTCAGTCATGCCTGTTCCTTGTTGTCTCCAGAGAGCAAGACATGGATCTGCCATGAACTGCTCTGTCAATCACCATCTCCTCTCTTCTTCCTCCTCCTCCTCTTCTCTTCCTCCTCCTCCTCCTCCTCCTCCTCCCTCCTCCTCCTCCTCCTCCTCCTCCTCCTCTCCTTCTCCTTCTCCCTCCTCCTCCTCTCCTCCTCCTCCTCCTCCTCCTTCTCTCCTTCTCCTTCTCCTTCTCCTTCTCCTCCTCCTCCTCCTCCTCCTCTCTTTCTCTTTCTCTTTCTCTTTCTCTTTCTCTTTCTCTCTTCTCCTTCTCCTTCTCCTTCTCTTCCTAATTTTGATCCCCTTTTTCCCCACTGTGGTCCTTCCTCTTTATGACTACAGTTTTTGATCTTTTGCATGATGGCCAGATGCTGACAATATTGCAAGGGATACAAGAGCCTTGGTAGTACAGCGGTCTAAAGCACCCTGTTATTAAGAACAGCTGCCTGCAATTACTGCAGGTTCGAATCTCGCCAAGGCTCAAGGTTGACTCAGCCTTCCATCCTTTCTAAGGTAGGTAAAATGAGGACCCAGTTTGTGGGGGCAATAAGCTGACTTTGTATAAATATACAAAAGAATGAAGGCTATTGCTTAGCGCATTGTAAGCCGCCCTGAGTCTCCGGAGAAGGGCGGCATATAAATCAAATTAAAAAAAAAAAAAAAAAGCTAGACTTGGTCATCCAAACCACTAAAGAACATGGCATTGCTTATTGGTTGAAAAGGAAAATGTACATAAGCACAAAGGGTGAGATCTTGTCCCATATTCAGTCCAACAACAGGCACTGCCTTCAAAGGAGATCCTCATCACATGCCTGGAAATTGACTGGCAAAACCAAAAAAAAAAAAAAAAAAAGGCTTTAAGAGTTGTTAACCTTATTTTGTAAAGCTTCTCCTCCTGTAACATTGAATTGTTAACTAGGGTAAACAAAACCTTTGCCAGACCAATTCTTGAATACAGCGTGTCTGCCTGAAATCCACACTGTATATTGGACATTAATACAATTGAGCGGGTCCAGAGATATTTCACGAGAAGAGTACTCCACTCCTCTACTCACAATATAATCCCTTATGCCACCAGGCTTGAAATTCTGGGCTTGGACAATCTGGAATTGTGCCGCCTACGGTCTGATCTAAGCATAGTATACAAAATAGTCTGCTACAACATCCTACCTGTCAATGACAACTTCAGCTTCAATCTCAATAATATTTGGGCAAACAATAAATACAAACTGAAGGTAAACCGCTCCAAACTCGATTGCAGAAAATACGACTTCAGCAACAGAGTGGTCAATGCCTGGAATGTTCTACCTGACTCCATTGTGGCAGTCTCAACCCCGCCCCCCAAACTTTCATCTTAAACTGTCTACCGTAGACCTCACCCCATTCCTAAGAGGTCCGTAAAGGGGACATGCATAAGCGCACCAGCGTGCCTACCGTCTCTGTCCTACTGTCCCCATTTATTTGTACTCATTTCCAGTGTTCATGTTTATACTTATACCTGTTTTCTCATACATATTTGACCAACAAATAAAATAAATAAAAATAAATAAAGCCAACAAAGGAGACTGAGGCAGCCCACTTTGCTCAATGGGGTGAAGATACGATGTCCCCCCTAGGCACAAAGGCCAACGTTTCTATATCCTCAAGCTTGGCTCTCTCTCCTCCCAAAGAAAGAGAAAGAAAGAATGCTATTGCTGTTCTCCCTTCCCCCCATTAATATGATTAATAACATTAGAGTTTTAGTAGGAGGGAAAGGGCCTTTTTCATTTTATTTTCATTTGATTAGATCTATTCCCACTGTGCCGCCTTTTGAATGAAACCCAGATTCTGCTCCATTGTTCTGAAATCCTCTGAGAGAGGGCTACCTCTCCCTCTCTTACATTAATGCATATATAGAGTGTACCCCTCCCCAAATACCAAGCCTTCCTTACCCCCCTGGCAGTCAATAGCAAAGATCCCAGCATCTTGATTAAAGCAAATTTTTTCCTTAGTTGTGCAAACTTGAATTCCTGAACATGCTGTTCTCCAAATCATGGGAATGGCTTTTCTCATTTTAGTTTTGGCGTTGGGCATTGCAAGTCCCAGAATTACCAGTGGGCATGATGGCTGGGAACGCTCCATTTTCAGCTCGAAATGTGTGCTCACCAAACCGGTTCTTAAACCGGATAGCATTCCACCACTGGCCCCAATCCAGGACCCTTCGTAGGCAGTTGCTTTCATGACAGTCGGCAGTTCAGCGGTTTGAATCCCTAGTGCCGCATAACGGGGTGAGCTCCCGTTAATTGTCCCAGCTTCTGCCAACCTAGCAGTTCGAAAGCATGTAAAAACTGCAAGTAGAAAAATAGGGACCACCTTTGGTGGGAAGGTAACAGTGTTCCATGCGCCTTTGGCATTCAGTCATTCCAGCCACATGACCACGGAGATGTCTTCGGACAGCGCTGGCTCTTCGGCTTTGAAATGGAGATGAGCACTGACCCCTAGAGTCAGTGACTAGTGACTACGACTAGCACATATGTGCAAGGAGAACCTTTACCTTTACCTTTACCTAGCTAACCATACCCTTCCGGGATTCGAACCCGGACTACTTGCATATTAGGTAAATGTATTAACCTCTAAGCCATGGGCTCTCCTTGCTTTGTCGGCTATACCAGGGGAGAGATTAAGTGTCTAGCAGGGCAACCTGGTCTACCCAATTATTAGAGGGAGCATACTGCTTCCGCTTTTACTGATGCTCATCATCTAAATTGACTTGCACCAGCCGGCTGGGGATCTGGGATCTTGCAGTTCTAACCCATCTCCAAGCGAGCTTCCCGCTTAAGAGGCAGAGATTTTAAATGAATATTCATACATATATGGAACATGATTTTAAAGGAATATGGAATTATGAAAAAAGAAAGGAAACAAAGAAGACAAGCAAATTAAACACAGGCACACATATATATGCAACAGGCGCATGAGCATATGCAAATTTAAGAAGAAAAAATGCAGCAATTTTAAACATCTATTTCTCTTTTGAAATCAATAACACAGTGGTACTCTTAGGAAAACTGTATTAATATTGCTAAGAAGCAGCGACTAGATTCGAATGAACCTATCCATAACCGTAGAGTTCTTCGAAGCTCTTTCCATTGTCTTAATTATTCAGGCGGGGTAAATACCACTGATCTAAAGAAAATGTATTTTCATTTCCCAGCATTTCACCCTCCTATATAAAGCAGCTCACAACAATAATTGAATCTATTCTTTTATGGGGTACCAATTTATAAGCAGTAGGAAGACAGACCATAAACCAGCTGCCAGATGTTCCTTCCTAATAATCTGAAAATAGTTGAGAAAGAATTAGTTTTTCAATGAAGTATAGCTAAGAGAGTCCTGAAACAACCCTCATTTTTTTCCCACCCACAAGTGCCATAGGGCTGTGCCCTCTCTTCTAATAGGCTCCTCCCCTAAGTCAAGAGATCTAGAAACTTGAACTTATATACTAAACCAAGTACCCACCTTACACCTTTACAATATGGAATATGGATATACAATATGGATTTCAGTAATTTTTTTCCCTGTACAGGTAGTCCTCAACTTACAATAGTTCATTTAGTGACCATTCAAAGTTACAAGGACACAGAAAAAAAGTGACTTATGACCATTTTTCACACTTATGACCTTTGCTGCATCCCCATGTTTACATGATTAAAATTCAGACACTTGGCATCTGACTCCTATTTATAATGGTTGCAGTGTCCCGGGGTCATGTGATCTCCTTTTGCGACCAAGTTATTAACTTAACAATGGCAGTGATTCACTTAACAACTGTGGCAAGAAAGGTTGTAAAATGGAGCAAAGCTCACTTAAAATCTGTCTCATTTAGCAACATAAATTTTGGGCTCAATTGGAGTCATAAATCAAAGACTACCTTAGTATGTAGATGTCCCAAATGTGAATAGAATAGAATAGAATAGAATAGAATAGAATAGAATAGAATAGAATAGAATAGAATAGAATAGAATAGAATTTTTTCTATTCTAAGTGTGATTGGACACACAAGGAATTTGTCTTTGGTGCATACGCTCTCAGTGTACATAAAAGAAAAGATACGTTCATCAAGAATCATAAGGTACAACACTTAATGATAGTCATAGGGTACAAATAAGCAATCAGGAAACAATATCAATATAAATCATAAGGATACAAGTAACAAAGTTATAGTCATACAGTCATAAGTGGGAGGAGATGGGTGGTGGGAACGATGAGAAGATTAATAGTAGTGCAGACTTAGTGAATAGTTTGACAGTGTTGAGGAAATTATTTGTTTAGCAGAGTGATGGCGTTCGGGAAAAAACTGTCCTTGTCTCTAGTTGTTCTGGTGTGCAGTGTTCTACAGCATCGTTTTGAGGGTAGGAGTTGAAACAGTTTATGTCCAGGATGCGAGGGGTCTGTAAATATTTTCACAGCCCTCTTTTTGACTCGTGCAGTATACAGGTCCTCAATGGAAGGCAGGTTGGTAGCCATTGTTTTTTCTGCAGCTCTAATTATCCTCTGAAGTCTGTGAGTGTCTTGGTGGGTTGCAGAAGCTTCTCAGAAGCTTCTTGGATGAGAAGTGAAACATCTTCGAAAGAAAAACCAGAAAGTTCAGTTGCTTCTTGAAAAAGCACCTTTGGGACAACCATGACCCCGATGACTGAGAATCTCCATCGACATTTAGTATGTAGATATTGTTTATGTCTATGTGTCTCAGATTCTCAGATTCTTAGATTAACAGAGTTGGAAGGGACCTTATAGGTCATCTAGTCCAATCCCCCGCTCAAGCAGGAGACCTTACACCATTTCTGACAAATGGCAGACCAGTCTTTTCTTGAAAGTCTCAAGTGATTAAGCTCCCAAAACTTTTGAAGGCAACTTCTGTTCCATTGGTTGATTGTTCTCACTATCAGAAAGTTCCTCCTCATTTCTAGGTTGAATCTCTCCTTGGTCAGTTTCCATCCGTTATTCCTTGTCTGGCCTTCAGGTGCTTTGGAAAATAGCTTGACCCCCATCTTCTCTGTGGCAGCCCCTCAAATATTCGAACACTGCTATCATGTCTCCCCTGGTCCTTCTCTCACGAGGAAGCAGTGGCGGCAGGACACGTCAGGGCAATGGCCAACGCGAAGAATGGGGAGGGGAGGCGACGGCAGCAATGGGACATCCAGTTGCACGCTCACCGCATCCTGCAGCCCCAAAATAATAAGAAACACCCCACCCCACCCCGATAATAAGACCAAGCCCTTATTTGGGGGGGTCAAAAGAAAATAAGACCTTTGGAAAAAATGACAAAGAGACATATTGACCTTAAACCAGAGATATTTTTAATAGGGATCTTACCTGAGACATTCAACAAAGAATTACAATATTTGTGAATATATTAACAGCAGCTAGAATTGTATTTGCAAAAAACTGGAAAGGAGAGAAGATGATTACCGATGAAGAAATTATTAAGAAAATGTTGGACTGTGCTGAAATGAGTAGATTGACATTTGAAATAAGAGAACAGGAAGATAAACAATATTATTTGATATGGGAACTATTTTATCAATGGATAGATAATAAAGCATGGAGATGAAATATTATATACGAAATGAAATATGGATAAAATGTTTAAGCACTTGTTTTTTTTTTTTCTGTTAGAGGTAAGAATACCTGTCATATAATGAGAGTTTGAAAATTTTGAGAGCACGAAATGATTTTCACCGATCGAAATACTGTCTCTAAGCGTTTGGAAGGTTGATGTTTTTATGTTGTTTTTGTTTTAAAAATAAAAAAACTTTTTGAAAAAAAAAAAGAAAAAGAAAATAAGACCTTGTCTTATTTTCAGGGACACACGGTAGATAGATAGATAGATAGATAGATAGATAGATAGATAGATAGATAGATAGATAGATAGACAGACAGACAGACAGACAGACAGACAGACAGACAGACAGACAGACAGACAGACAGATGGAGAGAATATTTGTAGCTCTGGAATCATGTGGTGTCCTTGTTGCCTTTGAGCTTACTTATTTTCTTGCGGTCCTTTCATTATCCAATTAGGAAATGTATTTTTAGTACTCATGGTGTTACCTAATCGAGTAATGAAACATCTACAAGAAAACAACTAAGCACAGAGAAAGAACACAGGACAAAAAGAGAAGGTGAAAGAGAAAGGGAGGGAGGGAGGGAGGGAGGGAGGGAGGGACTGACTAGCCTGACTAGGTGGGTCAGTGGCTAAGACACTGAGCTTGTCGATCAGAAAGGTCGGCAATTCGGCGGTTTGAATCTCTAGTACAGGTCCCTGCGTGAAGTCCCTTCCAACTCTGTTACTATTAGGAAGGGAGATAGAGATTAAAATTTTCTGCTTATCTTGTGGAGATGATCATCAATTCAGAGTCATCTTCTAGCTCCCTTTTTCTTGCTCTTCTCAGGTTCAGGACAAGTTCCGTCTGGATCTGTCTGACGAGGAAGCTGTCCACTACATGCAGAGCTTGATCGACGAAAGCGTCCATGCTCTCTTTGCGGCGATGGTGGAACAGATCCACAAGTTTGCTCAGGTAAAAACTTTGGATCCCTCTTTCCTCGTCATCTATTAGAATTAAGGATTGACAGTTTAGGAAGGCAACCATATTTTCTCCTGAGAACCGTGATGGCTAATCCCCAGCCAGATCAAATGTAAACCCCAACGTTTGATGTGAAGTCTTTTATGAGGTAACGCTGCTGGAATTCAGCATTGAAGCGGTTTAATAATAGTCACTGAGGCACTTCCTTCCCCTCAAAATTAGGAGTGAATAGGAATGGGAGACCTTCTGGAAGGTTCCCTCTTTTGTTTCTCTTTGTCCGATTGTCGAGTCTTATTCAAGGAAACGAGAAATATTTCAGTAAAGAAGTTGAATGCAAAAATTAGAGATAAGGTACAGATCATGGAAACTACAAGGGTAACTCCCATCTCTCTTTTATGTGGGAGTCCATTAAAGCACAGCTTTATTATTTTTATAAATAATTCACCACGGTGAACGTATCCAACACATCTTCCTCCTCCTGTTTTCCCTGTTCTGTCCCAGTACCACGCACACACACACACAGACGGCCCGGAGTTAATAAGCCACATGACAAAACTCTTTGATGATAGAGCTGGCAGCAACCCAGTGGCTAGCTGCCAATTCAGACTTTACTCACACAAAACAAAGATTAGACTGCAAGCATTCTGATAAAACAGGCAGAGTTTTCAACAATACAAGGATTAATCCAAATGCAGTCCGATAAAGCAGGCAAAGTCCAGTAACACAGAGATCATGGATTATTTCTAGGTTTTGCTCGTCACAAACTGAACCGGCCACCACACCCACATTTATACCCTGTGGGGTGTGGTCCAGTGACTCAGCTAATCTCTGGCACGCCTTCCCCTCTGCTGCGCATGCTTCTCCCTGCGCCTCTGTCGAGGGTCCAGCCAGCACTTATCTTCCTCGTCGCTGTCCACCTGTGGCTGCGGGGACGTGCTTGGCTCTGAGCCTATCGTTTGGCCTTCGGTGTCCTCCGGAGGCATTGCCAGAGAGGAGGGTCCTGGAGAGGGAGGCCTTGCCAACTCCTCCCCCTCACTCTCAGAGTCTTCATCTGTCGATAGCCCAGGCTCAGGCAATGGAGCCACAACATTCCCCACAACAACCCTGTGAGGTGAGTTGGGGCTGTGAGGAAGGGGCTGGATTGGCCCAAAGTCACCTAACCAGCTTTCATGCCTAAAATGGGACTACAACTCACCGTCTCCCGATGATTGGTCTAAAGTCACCCAGCTGGCTTTCATGGCTAAGCAGGGGTGGGCTTCAAAAATTTTAGCAAGGGGTTCCCTGCCCGGTTGCTGGGTGGGCATGGCCTGTTCGGCCTCCCGCCCCGAGCTCCGGAGGCTTTCCTCGAGCCTCCGAGAAGGCGAAAACGGCCTCCCCAGGCTCCAGAGGCCCTCTGGAGGCCAGAAATGGGCCCATTTCCAGCCTTCCCTGTCAGATAATTATCTGAAACAGTGCCACTGAACCACACTGTCTATACTGGAAGGATGGTTTTGTGTTTATACTTTCCCTCCATTTTGTCTAAGGGACTGAAGGGGGAGTGGCTTAGCCACCCTATAAATATGACCCCCTTTAGCCACACACACACTTGGGGAGACACATGGAAGGCACATAGGAGACACACAGGAGAAGGGATTATGCTCTAGGCACATTTACCTCAGAAATAAATAAAGACCAAGATACAATGTTCTGTTAGTTAAAATGTAAATAGTTTATTGATTTTAAATAAACAAAGTTTTTCTTGATAAAAGAAATCTGGCTTAATTGTAGCTGCTGGGACATTCCAAGATCTTATTGACCTCTACAACCTAAACTAAAAACTTTTCTAACGTTCCCTAATTTCTGTTAGGCCCATTTTTCATGGGCCTCCCCGAGCCTCCACGTGCACTCTGCACTTACCTGTATGCAAAACGGGCCACGTGGGGACTCCTGGGAGGGGCGGGGTGGGCGGGGCCAGCCAGGAGTGAGATTTGGGGGTTCTCCAAACTGCACAGAATCTTAGCTAGAGGTTCTCCCAAACCCCTGCGAACCCTCAGCAACTCACCCCTGTGCCTAAGGCAGAACTACAACTCCCAATCTCCCGGAGACAAAATACATTGCAAAGATATTTCTTCTTCTTCTGCTGTTCTACCGAGGCTCAGAGACTCTTCATAACATTCATTTACGTTCTTTTGGAGAGTTGTTGAGGCCACCTGGGGGTTTATCTGTGTCCTGAGGGTCACCGGGTGGCCTCAACGATTCTCTAAAAGGATGCAAATGACCAACTGTCTGCAAGGAGTATCAATCCTTTCATTCCCCACCAGCCAGTCAGAGCTGAAGAAGCTTCTTGGATGAGAAGTGAAACGTCTTCAAAAAAAAACCCCAAGAAAGTTCAGTTGCCTCCTGAAAAAGCACCTTTGGGACAATCCTGGGGAGAAGGGCGGTATACAAGTTGAATAAATAAATAAATAAATAAACCATGACCTATATGACTGAGAATCTCCATGGACATTTTCCTGAGTGTTACTCTTGGTTCTGCCTGGCAAGTTTCTTCTTTTAATTAGAAGAAGAATCAATTGGTGCTTTAATTCCTGCGCAAAGTGACTCATGAAGTCGACAGTTTCTCCAAGAACAGATACTTATTAAAACCTCTTATCTGAGCCAACTGCGTAACCTACTGTCCTGCCAATTTTTGTTTCACCCTACGGTTTATGAGTCTCTCTCTTCCTTCCCACTCCAATCACCACCAATCCTAAGTAAATATATAGGATTCCTGATCTGATACCAAGTTTAATTAACTGGAAAATGTCACTGGAAGCCACGTACTTATTACTGGGGGTTTTCTAATGCTGTATTATGAGCAGCACGCCAATTCTTGACAGTTTCTTGTTAGTTTCCTATTGGTGACTACTCTCCAAGATAATCCCAAATTATCCCAATCCCCGTGCTTTTTTCAAGAGGCAACTGGACTGTCTGGTTTTTTCTTTGAAGACGTTTCGTTTCTCATCCAAGAAGCTTCTTCAAGTCTGAGAGGGTGATGGGGAATGGAAGGATTTATGTTCCTTGCAGACAGTTAGTCTTTTGCATTCTTTTAGAGAGTCGTTGAGGCTACTTGGAGATTTATCTGTGTCGTCAGGGTCACCTGAGTGGTGCAAATGGGTGCGGAGCCTTCGTGGAACTGTTGAAAGGACCGTGTTGTTGTAGACTGGAGATCGATGATCTCGTATCCTTTCCCCTCTGTTGAGAGAGTGCTGTTCGGTTTTAATATAGATAGCTCAATGACTCTCTAAGAGAATGCATATAACGATGCCGTTGTCTCAAATCATTGGCCATTGTTTTAACCTATTGCACAACATTTATGCGCTGCTCACTTTGTGAGCTTTTAGGACATGAGCTGGAAGGCGGTGTTAAACAGGTCATTGGTTTGGAATCATTGTGCAGCCAAAAGAGATCCAAATCCAGGCCCCGATGAATTCTGTTGACCCTTACATAGTGCCCGTTCAGCTGTAATCATTACTTGACCACATTCTGATGTATTGGTCTCTCTCTCAGCTTTCCTCTTTCCTCTATATATTCAAAATGGACACTGATATACATATATAACCTTTTTCCCACTAAAATAACCCCCCCCCCAAAAAAAAAAAGCCCCCCCTAAAATATTTAAAAGCATGAGCAGCCGGTTCCCGCCATTTCCTCTGGTTAGGGTTAGGGAGACAGAGCTGGAAATCAGGTAAGACAGCAAGAGGATCCCCGTCTTGCTCCACGCGCCCCAAAATAATAAGACCTCCCCAAAAATAAGGCCAAGCACTTATTTTGGGGTTCAAAAAAATATTAGACAGGGTCTTATTTTCAGGGAAACACGGGTATATGTGTGTGTTTGTGTGTGCAGACGTGCATGTGTGTGTAATGTATGGGTGTGTGTATGTATGTATGTATATGTGTGTATATATATGTGTGTGTGTGTGTGTGTGTGTGTGTGTGTGTGTATCAAATTTATATTTCACTGATAAAGAAATAAAGGGAGACTAGTATAGATCTATTTCAAGCTATTTAGAGATTTCCCCTGGCTCAAGCTGATGAAGGGGGGAGAGCTTCTGGCTCAGAGGTTAATACAACTGCCTAATATGCAGGCAGCCCAAGTTCGAATCCGAGTAAGGGTATGGCTAGCTGATGAGAGCTAAATAGCTTGAAATAGATCAATACTAATCTCCCTTTATTTCTTTATCAGTGAAATATAAATTTGGTATAAAATGGTTTGTGGTGAATGCGACTGCTTGACGGCTCCTGGATTGGAGCTGAAAGGTGAAAGGGAAGCAGTATTCTCCCTCCCACATGTTGGGGTAGACCAGATGGATTTCTCTTCTCTTCTCTTCTCTTCTCTTCTCTTCTCTTCTCTTCTCTTCTCTTCTCTTCTCTCCTCTCCTCTCCTCTCCTCTCCTCTCCTCTCCTCTCCTCTCCTCTCCTATCATGTCTTACCCTATTCTACACACCCTACCTATCCTATCACATCACCCTACCCTACCCTACCCTACCATCTTATCTCATCCCATCCCATCCATCCTACCTTACTTTACCTTACCTTACCTTCAGTAATACATTCTTTGGTGCTTTGAACTCAACAAATGCTCCTGATTCTTTGCACCTGCCATGAATCCTAAAATAGTGCTACCGTAGATAAAGGTCAAGGGAATTTACAGGAGGCTGGACTTGGATCTCTTGTGGTTATGCAATGATTCCAAACTGATGATACAGTTAACTCCGCCTGCTTGCCTCCTACAGAGCTCTTCTGAATGGCTTACCAAACTCAATTGCTGTACCATCAAAACCATTTTTTTTGAAAAAAAAATCATTTACCTTTCAAACAGAACAAGTAACCAATAAGTATGATAAATTATCAATAGGCACCGTAAATTAGCAATAAGCGCCTTGATGCGAGAAACATATGAAAAACTGTAGCTTGAGTTTGAAACGTGTTTCGCACAACTTTGGAAAGCAAGGAGAAAAATTAATCTGGTGCCTCTTTCCTCAAATTTGGGGAGTGGGCTGGGAGAGAGAGGGGGGGGAGAGATGATAGATAGATAGATAGATAGATAGATAGATAGATAGATAGATTAGATAGATAGATAGATAGATCGATAGATCGATAGATCGATAGATCGATAGATAGATAGATAGATAGATAAATAGATAGATGATAGATAGATAGATAGATAGATAGATAGATAGATAGATAGATAGATAGATATAGAGACAGTCCATTTACTTCCCTTCAGAAAGCTAAATATTCCCCAGGCCATCAAAAGGTTGCCCAGCCTTTTATGCTGGCTTGTAAAAATTCCTCCAAGATAATTTCATGTAAAGCACTCTCAAAACAGCTATTTTAGCGTTAAGTATTATGCCTCAGTATCCCTTTGAGCACACTTAGATTCATTTTTCCCCCCTCTCTCTGTTCTTGGTTTTTTGCCAGGTAAATGTTAACTTGTTCCTTCCTTCTCTTCCCTACTTTGTCAGGCTAATAAAGCTCGCCAGATATAATGCAGGGAAAGAAACCAAATATTGTCTCATAGGGCTTGAAGGAACACAGGTTGAGGTACTTGATAATATCATATCTTCTCATGGAGGACAGGTGTAACTTCAAACTTAAGTGTTGTGGTCCGCCGGTAGCCTGCGGAACTGGCAGCAGAGTCGGACAGTGAGGAGGCTGGGGAGGAACATGGGCCAGTCCTGGAGTCTGGGGAAGGCTCAGACGAGGACTCTGCGTCGGAGGCAGAGAAAGGGCCATCTGGGAGGTACGTGCTGCCTCCGGAGCCTCCAGAGTTGGACGTCAGCGAGGCAGAGGAACAGGGGGAGCCTGTTCCCAGTGCGCGCATGCACAGAGCTGCCAGAAGGCGAGAACAGTTCAAACAAAAGGGACGACTTGGGAGTAGGGCTTGGAGATGATGGTCCCCTCCCATAAGACTTAAAAGAGGAGCAAAGGCACGTGGGCCTTTGCAGGAAGCAACATTGTTAATTCTGTTCAGTTTAAAGCCTGAAGCTCTGTTTGATTCTGGACTCCATGTGGCTTTGCCAATTAGGTCTTTGGCAGCGTGTCAAGGGAGATAAAGGTGGGTGATTATCCCGAAGGACTGTTTACAACTATTTGGGACTTATCTGTGAATAAACAGAATTCACAGCTGTTGCAATAAAAGAGGTTTTTGGGACTACTTGTGTGTTTTACCGACTCAGGAGGCCTAGGTCAGAACAATAAGAGAAGTGGTTAGGAAAATTAAGTTCCATTCTCAACGGCCATCAACTGGGTATCAATAGAAGAGAATATTTGTAATTCAGGTTTGAACTGTTGGGTCCTTGGTGCTCTCTGAGTGTGGATGCTTTCTTGCAGACATTTTATTACCCAACCAGGCAACATCATCCATGCACATCTTAGATGAGGGAATAGAAGGGGAACTCATCAAATTTGCAGGTGACACTAAGCTGGCAGGAATAGCCAACATCCCAGAAGACAAGCTCAGGATCCAAAAAGATCTTGACAGACTTGAACAATGGGGCCTATCCAACAAAATGAATTTTAATGTGGAGAAAAGCAAAGTTTTACATTTAGGCAGGAAAAGCCAAAGGTAGAAGTACAGATTAGGCGAAACCTGGCTCAAAAACAGTAACTGTGAGAGGGACCTTGGAGTTCTAGTGGATGATCACTTGAACATGAGCCATCAGTGTGCAGGAGCAGCCAAAAAAGCTAGCATAATCCTTGGTTGTATAAACAGAGGCATAGAATCAAAATCATGTGAAGTATTAGTACCACTTTATAAAACCTTACTAAGACCACACCCGAAATACAGCAAACGATTTTGGTTGCCACACTACAAAAAGACGTTGAGACTTTGGAAAAAGTGCAAAGAAGAGCAACTAAGATGATCAAAGGCCTGAAGACTAAAACGTATGAAGAACAGTTAAAGGATTTGGGTTTGGCTAGTCTAGAGAAAAGAAGAATTAGGGGGACATGATAGCAATATTCCAATATTTGAGAGGCTGCCACAAAGAAGAGGGGGTCAAATATTCTCCAAAGCACCAGAGGGCAGGACAAGAAACAATGGGTGGAAACTCCTCAGAGGGAAATCCAACCTGGAACTAAAGTGTCAGTCCTGCCCCAGTCCGATCCCTTAGGCGAGAAAGACCCTCGACTCCATTTGGTTGAAGTCATAGGTTCTTTTACTAAAAGATGCTGGCTGCAGTAAAGTCAGGCTAGAACTAAATTTCTCACACTTAAAAGATACAAAAGGTTTTCCCTCATCCCATCCCTCCCCCAGTGGTGGGTTCCAACTGGTGTTACTACTGGTTCTCTTCGTGCACCCGCTTTGCGCGCAATTGTCGCGTGCGTGCTTGCTTCATTTGCACGCACGCCAAACTTGCGTGCTCCGCACAAACGTGTTAGGTTTCTGGCCAGCTGAGGTGCGGCAATCCACTCTGCCACGCCTATCAGCTGGGCTAAAAACCAAGGAATAAAGGTAGGAATAAAGCGGGGGCGGGCGGAGGGGCCGGCTCCCAGTTACAGAGAACCGGTTTGGTGACGTCACATTGTCTCCGCTACCGGTTCGGCTGAACCGGGCCGAACCGCGAGCAACCCACCACTGCCCTCCCTCCATGACCAGTCTGTCTTCAGCCAATGAAGATTTGCCTAGATGTTTTGATAACGCTGAGATGTTCCTTTAAGGGTGCATGGCCTTGAATGTTGGCACAAACTGGTTCTGAACTCTGTTCTTCGTCAAGCTGTCTTTCCCCCCCTCCCTATTTCCATCACATACTGACACAGGTTTATTGCCCATTTTTTTCTTCCCCCCCCCATACCCCCTAGTGTTTGATGGCAGGATGCCAGCGAGGCGCCAGGCCGAAGTTTAGTTTAGTTTAGTTTAGTTTAGTTTATTTGTATACCGCCCTACTCCCGAAGGACTCAGGGCGGTGAACAGCCAAACAATAAAATACATAAATACAAAAAATTTAAAAACCCGATAAAATCAAATTAAATCATTTTGGCCCGGACAAATTAAAACACCCCAATAATTTAAAAACAGATTAAAATTTACATATTAAAAGAGGGAGGAGATTAGGCCAAGCCCGCTTGATAGAATAAAAAGGTCTTCACAGCGCGGCGGAAGGTGCGCAGATCCGGGATCCTCCGTATCTCTGGGGGGAGCTCATTCCAGACGGTAGGTGCCCCCACAGAGAAGGCCCTCCCCCTAGGGGTCACCAGCCAACACTGTTTGGCTGACGGCACCCGGAGGAGTCCCTCTCTATGAGAGCTTACTGGCCGGTGGGAGGCTATTGGTGGTAGTAGGCGGTCCCGAAGATGGCAAACCTGACACCAAGAGAAATTTCCTGACAGTGAGAATGATTAATCAATAGAACAGCTTGTCTCTCAAAGCTGTGGGTGCTCCAACATGGGAGGTTTTCAAGAAGAGATTGAACTACCATTTGTCCAGACCAGGGGTCTGCAACCTTAAACACTCAAAAGAGCCATTTGGACCTGTTTCCCACAGAAAAGAAAACACCGGGAGCCACAAAACCCTTCCCGGGCCTGACTATTTCCTGAGCAGCCACAAAACTAGCATATGTAGTTGAAGTAAACATTCTGTTTTCTTCGGAAACTTTTCTTTTCTTGGATTTATCCATGGTTGGCCTACTGAGGGTTGAAAAGCTCGTGCCGGCGGGTGTCGCACATTGGCGGTTGTGACGCATATTTTGAGTGACAGGGAGCCGCAGCAGAGGGGGTGTAAGAGCCACCTGCGGCTCCAGAGCCGCAAGTTGCTGACCCCTGGTCCAGATAGAGGGTTGGACTAGAAAACCCCCAAGGTCCCTTCCAACTCTATGATTCTGTGATTATAATAACAGAAGAACAGAGTCGGAAGGGACCCTGGAGGTCTTCTAGTCCAACCCCCTGCTCAAGCAGGAAACCCTTTACCACTTCAGGCAAATGGTTATTCAACCTCTTCTTTAAAACCTCCAATATTCAGAACTTTCCCAACGTTTGAAAGCATTGAGTCCAGAGGTGGTATTCAGCCGGTTCGGGCGAAACGGAAGTGGTGAATTCCACTTCCACTGCCCAGCCATCCACCCCGGTGCTATGCTGTCCTATTTCTAAGCCACCCACATGCACGCAAAGCTCATGCACAGAAGGCATTTTTTTCTGCGCGCATTTTCGGCGCGCGACAAACCGGTGGTAAAATCGTATGAAACCCACCTCTGATTGAGTCTGTTCCTTGTTAGCCCAGGGTACTTCAGCTTAAATCCCACTGATGAAAGTAAAAAATAAATATAATTGGGACATTTTTTTAAAAAAATATATATTTTCTTTCTCTTTTCCTCACTCAGTACTGGAGAAAATGAGACCTCATCACTTCCGAAGGAAAAAAATTCTCCTCCAGCTGCTTCCTGAAACTCCTGAAGATAACGTCAACCAAGGATGTAACTTTTCTAGCTTGGATAATGAATTTATCCAGAATTGCCATTCCAAACTGGGACAGGGGTATATGTTCCTCACTCTCAGTTATCAGACACAGTTTGGAAAACAGGGCAGTGCTGTCCAGAACCCCAATGACAAGAAGAAAATAAATGTCTAATGGTTTTTGAAGGACATCTGTGCACTTATTACTGTGGTCCCTCTACAAGAATGCAACTATGGAGAGACACGTACGGCCAAAGCTTATGAACTTGGAATGGAAGTTTGGAGTCATTTCTAAAACTTGTCCAAACTTCAGTTGGACCTCCCTTTTAGAGTAGATTAGTTCCTACGGATTCCTTTTTTAGAAACAAGCTCTCATCAGATCTGGACCTTTAGAACAAAGCAAAGTCCTCAAAAGATATCAGCGACGGACTTCAAATTTTTTAGAAACAAGCTCTCATCAGATCTGGACCTTTAGAACAAAGCAAAGTCCTCAAAAGATATCAGCGACGGACTTCAAATTCCTGACGGGAAGAGAGCGAAAGTTTTCACTTTGCGTACAACAACATAATGTATGTTGACTGTATATGCCAAATCTAATAAAATGGCTTTGGTGCAATCTTAAATTCTCTTTATTTAAGCTTCTTCGGCTTCCTTCTGCTGCTGTCCTCACCCTTAGATATAAACGTCTATTTAAAGATTTATTTCTAGCAGTTTCTGTTCCAGATTGACCCCCTTCAGCTTGACATCGTCTTCTTTTAATGATCCCATAATCCCTTGCACGGTGGTGTCTGGGCAGCTGAGTGTTTACTGGCCGGATGCCCTTCCTGTCACCGGTACGGAGTTTTATTCAGCAGATAAATTCTCATTATGCCCAGAGAGAGAAATATCTGCCTCTACCTAGGATCGAACTCACAGCCTCCTGATTTTGAGGCGAGATCTCCACCTTTAGGCCATTGCACCGCACTAAATCTAGGATCTCTTAACTCTTAGGCTAATATTCTGAAATTGGTTTACTTGATGGTGGACCTTCAGATGCCACTTAACTCTTCGAGAAAAGAATAAAGCCAACTGCAGGTATTCCTCAATTTACAACCATCCGTTTAGCAATTGTCTGAAGTTACGACGGCGCTGAAAAAAAGGGACTTACAACTGATCCTCGCACTTACAACTGTTGCAAGTCATGTCATCCAAGTTTGGGTTATTTAAGACCTTCCCAGCCGGCTTTCAACAAGCAAAGTCAATGAGGGAAGCCAGTATTCACTTAGTGACGGCACTATTCCCTTAACAACTGCAGCAATTTTCTGAACTGTGGCCAAACAAGTAAAATCAAGCGCAACTCACTGAACAACTGTCTTACTTAACAACAGAATGTCAGGGTTCCGAGTAACATACCCATAGCAAACAGAACTCTTGAGGCAGTAGATTCCTTAAAGAACAGTTTTATTGGATATATCATATTGGCACACGACTGGTGAAAACCGACTCTAACTATTCCCGCTGTTTTCACCGAATTAAAAGTAAACGTTTTCCCCCTTTTCTCAAACAATCAGTCACATGGTCCAATCAAAGCTCTGTCCGGTTGCTTGGTAACTTCACTCCTCCTCTCTCCAGCCACCTGTGGGAATGTCCTTGGTTCCCAGAGGAAACTGTTCTGTTTTGGATACAAATTCCCGCCCCCACCCCCACCCCAGCTATCTCTATCCCCCCCACTCCCCTAACCCTCATCTCCATTGAGGCAACCCTGAAGCCCCAAAGATGGCCTCAGCTTCAGTGTTGACACAGAAATTCTGGTATCAAGTGTCGTAAATCGAGGACTGCCTGTACAACTGAAAATTCATCTATAGCGCAGTAGGAAACCGATTACTTACCCCGTCGCATCGTTTACGGGTACGAATTAACACGACGTGAATAACTTCTGCATTTATCTCAAAGCTCTTTTGTCGATACGCATTCTGTAGCGCATAATACGAATGGGAAAAAATGTTCTTTAATTGGGTTGGTATATTTTCTCAGTTCATAACCAGGTTCCGTGCACAGAGCGTTCTCTCTCTCTCTGTCCACTTTTATTGTGTGTGTTAACTGGTGTAGAGGGACGTTTTATTGTAATGACACCACAACAGGAGATAAAATAGGTACAGCCGTTCCAATGTATTTGCATCTTGCAGATTGGAAGGGAGGGAAATGTTGCATCTAATTTTTTTTTTCTTCATTATAATTATTGGCTCTGGTTTGCCTTTTGAGACACCTCCTCCTCCTCCTTCCTTTTTAAATTTTTAATCGGCTTCTGAAATTTTTCTCGAGCCCATTTTTCCCCTTCTTATTTAAACGTCACATTCTCCTTTTGCGCTGCTCTTTTTTTTTCCCCCCCGAGCAGGAAAAAAATGTTTTCTGAGCCAACGTGCGATCTATAAAGTCAAATTGTTCTCCCGGGCTTCGTATCATAACGTTGCTGTTTTCAGCTACACAATTTCGTCCACCGGCTTGGGGCTTGGGAGAGTTTATAACTGGGGGGTAGATTCTTTTTCTGTCCATGTTCCTTTGGGGCACTGATAAAACCTAGAAATCTCAGGGTCTGTGAAGGTTGTCAGTCATCCAAGGTCATGGTTGTCCCAAGGGAGTTTCTGGTCCCTTGGTTGTGAGCTCTGTACCTTGCTTTTTTTTTCTTTTCTTTTTTTCTTTTTTTTTTCTGCCTCTGAAACTTCTGAAACTCTGTTTCAGAAAAAAACTTTATTTTCTGCCTCTGAAAGCCTCCGAAACAGCTTCAGAAAAAAAGCCTCCGAAGCTCTGTTTGTGGGCTTCTTTTCTGAAGCTCTGTTTGGAGGCTTTTTTTCTGAAGCTCTGTTTGGAGGCTTTTTTTTTCTGAAGCTCTGTTTGGGGGCTTCTTTTCTGAAGCTTTGTTTCTAATGCTTTTTTCAGCCTCTGAAACCTCTGTTTGAGAAGCTGGGTGGGGCTACACTCGGAGTATAAGACGCATCCAGATTTTCACCCTCTTTTTTGGGGGGAAAAGGTGTGTCTTATACTCTGAAAAATACGGTATATATATATATATACTGCTCAAAAAAATAAAGGGAACACAAGCAGAAGACATCCGAGATCTGAATGAATGGAATAGCCTTATTAAATACTTTGTTCTTTACATACAGTAGTTTATACGCTGCTCAAACAACTAAAGGGAACACAAAACTACTGTATGTAAGGAACAAAGTATTTAATAAGGCTATTTCATTCATTCAGATCTCGGATGTCTTCTGCTTGTGTTCCCTTTATTTTTTTGAGCAGTGTATATATTTTATACCAAATATATATTTTGCCACATGTTGGGGTAGACCAGGTGTCTCGGTAAACATTTAATATATATATATACATACATACATACATACATACATACATACATACATACATAATTTTAAATTTTTCTTTTAATACACACATTCCATTTTACGTTAGTGTGTCATCTGAGTATAAAATTCTGTGTGTCTTAACAATTAAACTTACCACCATATTTATTTCTTACATTCATTCTTATATTAATACTAAATAATAATACTATGTTTCCACGAAAATAAGACCCTGTCTTATATTTTTTTGAACCCTGAAATAAGCGCTTGGCCTTATTGCCATGCGCTCAAAAGCGTGATTGGGCTTATTATCAGGGGATGTCTTATTTTGGGGAAAACAGAGTAATACTGATAAAATAACATAAACCTAACATTTCTCTTCTTTACTTATCTATGTTTACAATACATTGCTTTCATTTTTTTTTAATTTATTTTTATTTGATTTATATGCCGCCCTTCTCCGGAGACTCAGGGCGGCTTACAATGCATTAAGCAATAGCCTTCATACTTTTGTATAGTTTATACAAAGTCAGCTTATTGCCCCCACAATCCGGGTCCTCATTTTACCTACCTTAGAAAGGATGAAAGGCTGAGTCAACCTTGAGCCTTGGAGAGATTCGAACTTACTTTAATTGCAGACAGCTGGTGTTAAATTACAGTGCCTTGTCTGCAGAGCTATTTATTCTCTAACCATTAATAAAATAACTCCCATATATTATAATAATCTGATTCTTCCTTTTCTTGAATTGCAAGTGTTAATCTTTTCATTTCTGCACAATCTAATATTTCCTTAATCACTTTTTCATCTAGAGGGATCTCTTTCCAATTTTGTGCAAATAAAATTCTAACTGCGGTTATTACATGAATAATCAAATATACAGTTTCTTTATTACGAAGAAAGAGAATCCAAAAAGCTTCTTCAACTCTGACTGGGTGGTGGGGAATGGAAGGATTTATACTCCTTGCAGACAGCTGGACATTTGCATTCTTTTTAGAGAGTCGTTGAGGCCACTTGGAGGTTTGCCTGTGTCCTCAGGGTCACTTTGGCCATCGGCCAAACAATGTCGACTGGCGGCCCCCAGGGGGAGAGCCTTCTCTGTGGGGGCACCTACAATCTGGAACAAGCTCCCCCCAGAGATACGGAGGATCCCGGATCTGCGCACCTTCCGTCACGCACTCAAGGTTTTCTTATTTCATCAAGCTGGCCTGACCTAAATCTTTTCCCCTGTTAAATGTAAATTTTAATTTGTTTTTAAATTATTTGGTATTTTAATTTGTCTCAGCCAAATTATTTAATTTGTTTTTATTCTATTTTAAATTTTTGTATTTATGTGTTTTATTCTGTGGCTGTTCACAGAATCCTTCGGGAGTAGGGCGGTATACAAATCCAATAAAAACAAAAAACAAACAAAACAAACTTGAGTAGTGCCAATGGGTGTGGAGCCTTTTTGGAACGGCTGAAAGGACTGTGTTGTAGACTGGAGATAGATGATGTATGTAATACCCCTCCCCCTCTGAGAGAGGGCTGTTCAATTTTGACATAGATTGCCTCTCTCAAACCAGCGGTCCTCTCTGTCCAAAATATGGACTTTGCTGTCTTCAAAAGAGTGGCCGATATCTTTTAAATACAGATGGACTGCTGAATCTTGTCCTGATGGGTTTGTTCTCCTATGTTGTGCCATGCGTTTATGAAGTGGTTGTTTTGTTTCCCCAATGTACAGATCAGCACATGGCTCACTGCATTGTACTGCATACAACATGTTACTCACTTTGTGACCCTGATGACACAGATAAATTTCCAGGTGACCTTAAAGGTAAAGGTAGAAGTTCTCCCCGCACATATGTGCGAGTCGTTCCCGACTCTAGGGGGCGGTGTTCATCTCTGTTTCAAAGCCGAAGATCCAGCGCTGTCTGAAGACGTCTCTGTGGTCATGTGGCCGGCATGACTAAACGCCGAAGGCGCATGGAACTCTGTTACCTTCCCCCCAAAGGTGGTCCCTATTTTTCTACTTGCATTTTTTACGTGCTTTCGAACTGCTAGGTTGACAGAACATCCCATTACGTGGCACTAGGGATTCAAACCGCTGAACTGCTGACCATTTGATTGACAAGCTCAGCATCTTAGCCGCTGAGCCACCGCATCCCCCAAGTGTCCTTAATGACCCACTAACAGAATGCAAACGACCAGATGTCTGCAAGGAGTATAAACCCTTGCATCCTCCACCATCCAGTCAGAGCTGAAGAAGCTTCTTAGATGAGAAGCGAAACGTCTTCAAAG